TATTAGTGTTTAATGTTTTTCTGTTTGAGAAGATGGGGGGGGGGGGGGTGTAAACCTGTCAGTCTATCAAAGACTTTATATTATTATACTGTATTCCAGTATCTATTCTGTTACACTGTCCAATATCTACTCTAACGTCTCACCTATATTCCCACAGCACGTAGGCATGTGAGCAGAATAGAGAGAGTGGTTGGGCACTGATTTTTGACCTCTCTTCCACTACAAGCATCTGGGAGCATCAAACAAAATTGATAGGAGCAGACTGGAAGCAAGCAAAAGGCTGTGATTCTTCACTCAACTGGTAGCTGAACTGTAGATCTTCTTGCAAAGGGATGGCATCAGGGATGGCAAAGTTTTACATGCGATCAAGGGGAAAATTAGTATTAGTATCTCACAGTCTTGCCTTGCTCTTACCTTTCTTCCCTTTGCTTTCAGCTCCTATCAGAAGTGGCACGTTAGGACTGGTGGACAGTCGTGTGAGTCATTATGATGATTTCTCAAATTTACAATGTTATTTCCTCTTATGAGGGATTCTTACAAATTCTTAAGATGAATTCATTCTTAAGATGAATTCTTACAAAATGTTTAAACTGATATGTTAGAGTATTGCTAACTGGTTTTCATTCATCTTCTGGAATAAAATGGTGTCAGTTTTGCATGTTGATATTGTTCCATATTTTCATAAGATGTCTTGCCTTCAGGCACGCATCATTTTTGAACTGCAGTCAGCATTAGGTCGCTAATTTCCCAGAACAATGTTTAATAAAGTTAAAGATGTGACCAAAAAAAAAATATATCCTGGATGCAGATAAAGTATGAATGATTTGTAAGAGCCACTTGTTCTGGTGTGCAGCTCATCTCATTCCAAAATAACTCCAGGAAGGGTGCTTTTCAGAAGGGTCTGTGCTCAGGCTGACATAATAGGGATTTTCCATTTTAGATATGAATGTCTTGTGACTCTGGTCACCTGAGGATATAGAGGTTTCCCCCATCTTCAAAGGGCTGAAGCTACAGCTGACACTTGGGTATTCTTGCTGGCCCTTCAGACCCTTCCCTTTTCAGTAAATCCAGATCAGCTTGAGACAGGACAGATTGAGACAGCACAGCAAGCAGTCAGGAGCAATCCCACTTCTTGAGAACTGGGAGAACAGTGTTTCTGGACCAGCCTGATGAAAGCAACACTAAGCATCATCTCTGCCATTCTGGCCATACCCAGCTGCTGCTTGCTTACACAGAGGAAAAAAAAAAGAAATGGTTCCTTGATTCATTAGGGTTTTGTCAGGTTTTCTTCTCCCACCTGCTGAAGGCAGTGACAAGTTTCCATCCTTCAAAAAATTCAGTATAACTTGAAAATGATGAGACTCAGGGATCAGCACTAATTGTATTAATACTTGCTTGGAAGATTAGCTCTGAAAAACTGATAATTCGTGGGCTCTTTGTTCACTGTGGTTTAGTGCCTATGGATTCCCTCTCTGGAAGTGTGTTGCTGCAGCAGTTCTGTCTTTTGAGGTCAGTGTGATGAGCTGCGTGGGTGTTTTTAGACATGAATCACATGCAAAAGGCTGATTCTCTTTTTCTTTTCTTCTTTTTTTCCCCCTGACGTACTAGGCAGCTTTGAAAAAGAACAGCCTTCCAAATTCCCATACTTCTTTTTCAATGGAAAAACAACATGAAGTCTTATACTCATTAACTGTTCTCTCTCATCTATGGTGTGTTTATTAACCACAACAATACCATGATTTATGCAGAATAAATCTATAATAGCTCTATTATAGATCTATAATCTATAAAATCTAGATTTATGCCTATAAATCTATAAACCCCTATATGGTGGGGTCACAGCCAAATGACTCCAGCAATGTGGGACCTACCACCTTAGGTGAATTGTACTGCAGGGTTCAGTAACTGGGAAATCAGTTTGTGTGGCATTGGAGACGTTGCTGGGTTTCCCTGGGTCAGTGCTCTGGCAGCATGAGGTGTTCCTAATGCTGTCCCAGACAGGGGCAGGAGCAGCATCAGTGCTCTGGCTCTAAACGTGCCTGCTGCAATTCGGGTGTCAGCATCTCTTAAGTCCAAATCTGTGTAATTTTTTCTTCATTGCATAGAGAGAGTTTGTGTTGAGTGGTTTCAGGAAACAGGTTCTTCCAGGAAAGAGAACCTTTTGGGATTTTGGATTATCTACTACCTGCCAGCAGAGGTTAAGAAGTGGACCAGCCTCCTAGAGCCTCTGGGCCATTCCTGGTGAGTTGAAGCAGTGTAGATTGTTGTGTTAGTACTGTAATGACTTTATTTTGGCTGCCAACTAGCAATTATTTTTTCACTTTCTCTGTGTTTTTTGTACTGTGATTATTTAAATTTAGGTCTGTTTGCTGAAGTATAGTGACCCTGGGGCCATGAACGCTAGTCCTGAAAGCTACCTGTATTTGTAGATGAAGGAAATGTAATGATTGCTAAAGTGAGGATAAGGCTGAGCTTTGGATCTTAATTTCACCTGCATTTGCATGTTCTGGTAGGGAGGGAATTGCTGGCAATGTCCTCAGAAATACCCCTCCTGCTTTTTGGTGCTCTGAGTTCCCCTGCCTGGGTGACTTGCCAATGGCTCAGCAGCATTTGCATTTGGAGCATAGGGCCATTAGGCCCTCAGAAGGAGCTTGGGAGTCTCTGGAAAGTTGGGTTTTTTGGTCCAGGCCACTTTCTTTCTTTGAGAACCTCAAATCACTCTGCTGAGTGACTGTTAAGAAAGCAGGTGAGAGACAAAACCACCCCTTTCATATCTGACTTCAGTGCAGATACCTATCTGTTATACTGGCTTTGGGAACAAGGCATGTTCAGTAGCACTAAGGGACCTGGGCATTTTGGAAAAAGCAGGTTTGCTTTTCTATTATTAGCATCCTCATTAAGGAAGTGTTGTTTGATCTGAAGCATTTCGGTGCCTAGTGTCCCTTCCCTATTGATGAGCTGCCAGTCTCACGGCTTGGAGCAGGTGCTTGGATAAACCTCTGCTGTCATATTGGCTGCTTTTATAGCTGAGACCTCGGGGCACTTTCAAAATTCATAGAACCATCGATTGGTTTGGGTTGGAAGGGACCTTAAAGATCACCTAGTTCCAAGCCCCCTGCCACGGGTAGTGACACCTTCCACTAGACCAGGTTAGTCAAAGCCCCATCCAGCCCGGCCTTGAACACCTCATGAGATGTAATCTCATATTAGAAGGCCACCAAACTTGTCAGGCATGATTTGTTCTTAGTGAAACCATGTTGGCTGTCACCAATCACCTCCATGTTTTTCATGTGCCTTAGCATAGTTTCCAGGAGGATCTGCTCCATGGTCTCTCTGGGCACAGAGGTGAGACTGGCTGGCCTGTAGTTCCCTAGGTCTTTCTTTTTTCAGTTTTTAAAAATAGGGGTTATGTTTCCCCTTTTCTAGTCAGCTGGCAGGTTCCTCCCATGGTCTTGAACCTGATCCTTTCCTACACTTGGCAGTTCTTCATTCTCCCAGTCCCTGCTCTTCCCACTTTGAACTTTACTGTTTCATGGTCATTGCAGCCAAGACTGTCCATGAGCTTCACATTCCCCACCAGTGCCTCCTTGTTGGTGAGAACAAGGTCCAGCGTAGCAGCTCTCCTCATTGTCTCCTCAATTACTTGGAAAAGAAGGTTATCATCAATGCATTCCAGAAACCTCCTGGATTGCCTATGCCCTGCTGTGTTGTCCTTCTAACAGATATTTGGGTGGTTGAAGTCCCCCATGAGGACCAGGGCTTGTGAAGGTGAGGCTGCTCCTATTTGTCTGTAGAGGGCCTCATCCTCTCAGTCTTCCTGGTCAGGTGGCCTGTAGCAGACCCCCACTGTAATGTCACCTAGAATTCATGTCATAGTCTAATGCATCAGCACAAGGCATCAAATGTGCTGTTGCAGAGTAAGAGGTACTATAACGTGGCCTGGAATTCATGTCATATAGTCTAATGCATCAGCACAAAGCATCAAATGTGCTGTTGCAGAGTAAGAGGTTTTCTCAGCCGTAGAGGCAGGAATTCAGAAGCAAAGCAGTTACTATGTCAGCTGAGCTTGGGTGGGAGATGGGGAGCTTTAATTTGTGCCTGTCTGCTTGGTTTTCAATTAGAGACAGTGGGAATTTTGGGGACACAGGGCCATACTGCAGAGTGGAAAGGTGAAACTGAAGACTTGAAGGATGCTAATGTCGTCTTGAATGATGGCCCTGATGGCTGCACCTTCTGCCCTCCTAAATGGAATTGGGCTCAGCCTACCAGAAGCAGAGAATAAAGCCATTTGAAGGCAGTTATCACCGAGAGGTGGAAGAGCTCTATTTTCCTTTAGTCAAGCCTGTGACACTGACCCCTCTTGTTTTGAGCAGCTGAATTACAACCTGCTCCTGGGAAACTCAGAGTGAACCCTTAGTTCTGCTCTGTGTCCTTCAGCAAGTCATAAGAGTGGATTATTATGTCTCATTTTGAGCAGCTGAATTACTGAGTGCTGCTGACTCCACAAAGGTGCTGGGGGGCAACATTGTTGGCATTTGTGGCTCGGGTACCTGAACTTAAGCAGGGATATTCAAAGGTTCTTGGTTTAACTCAAGTTGATACGGCCTTTGGGATTTTATAGTGGGTAAAATGACACTTGTAGGAATGGAAAGCATAGGTACTTGAAAAAGAGATATCAGATATCAAATTCTCATTTGAAAGGTACAAATCTTTGGGCAAATAACATATTTTTTTTCTTTTTTTTTATTAAAGGAACACTGTCAAGCATCATCCTGATACTATATTTAGTTTTTAAATTAAGTGTGTTCCGAGATCTTCATTTGCTGAGTGATCTGAGCCTCTTGTCTGCAGCGCAGTGGCAGTAAAGTGCTCTGTGAAGAGCTCCCAGATATGTGGTCTGATGTCCAAGTGATGTTGGGGAGGGGCTCTGGAGCTGCAGTGCCCTTGGGGTGAAATGTTTAGCTGCTTTTAAGCTAAGTCATAGATCGCAACCTCTGTTCCATCCTTCACCTTCTGGAGTGGAGAAGTTACGAAGAAGCTTTTAGTGCTTGTATGTGTAAATGCTTAAATGTTGAGGCACAGAGACTTACGGTTCTTTGTGTGTAATTTCTTTTCTGCTTCAGGAAAGAAAGGCTGTCAGGAAAAAGGACCTATTCAGTCTACTGCGTAAGAAATGTCCTAGAGGTGAGACGAAGGGAATAGGTGTGTGGAGGACATGTATCTTCTTTGTACCTTGCAGTTGTGGCTGTCAGGCTGGGAAATGAGGTTTTTCAGACATAGTTCTGTGTGCTCGGAGCAGGTCAATGTACATATGGACCACGCACTGAGTGGTGGGAGTAAGGTGAAGACCTCTTGGCACAGGAGGACTTGTTGCCAGCTGTGAATCACTGCAGAGCTGTGGTGATGTGCTGCTCCATGCCCTGCCCGGCACTGTCAGCAGCACAGATTTTTCAGGAAAAAGGAGGCACCTGTTAAACAAACACGTTTCTGAAACTGTAGGGGATAATGTCATGAACTCCCTGTGTATTTTACCTTGTGAGTTTAGGGTATAACCTGGGCTCACAGCTGCACCCCACTGGGTATGAGAGGTGTACCATCACGCTGGACATGGTGCATCACTGGCTGAAGGAGATGGGTCTGAGGTGTTCTAGCTGGAGCATAGTCCCTGTTTTCCTTTTCTGACAGGAAAGCATCAGGGTGGAAAAAGGTATGAAGGTGAAACTTCTGAACACTTTCTAACGTACCAAGAACTTCTTAAGCTGCCATCAGGCCACTAGGTATAAGTGCTTGTATTCCTTCCAGGGCAAAGGAAGCATGAGCTGTCCTTGTGTTTTGCCATGAACCCAGTTGCTTGCACCCAGCTTGGTTGTTGCAGGCTGTAGCACTGGTTACATCCAGGGTGAGACTATGAAGTTTTCTGTAGGATAATCCTGTACCCTGAGTGTAAATACACATTGCATGGTGCAGAAGGGACCAAAACATGGTACCAAGTCAGCCTCTGTCCTTACGGGATCATGGATACCATCTGGTTAAAGACTTACCACGTTACTGAAATGATGCTGTCCTAGATGAAACTGGGTCTTGCGTTGTAAGCAAAAAATGAATGTGTATATAGGCAAGGGAGCTGGCATTGAGAAATCTTGCTCAGGAGATATGTTCTTCTGGCTGCAGTTTTGCTCCTTTTTCCTCATAAGGGTCTTGTACCACCACAGATGAGGCTGTGTCAATACAATAAAGAAAGAAAAAGCTTTAAGCCTCAGCAAGGGGAGAGTTTTAAGCCTGAAATAAGGAGTGTCAGCAGGGGTTCCAGCAGTCCCTGAGGTGGTGCTCTTAAGGCCCAGACTAAGGGCTGGTAGATGGGTGGCTGTGATGTGCAGTGGAGTGAGTTAGAGCAGCTTGGCAAACAAGAAGTGCTTCCTGTGGAGGTCTGTAACTAACATTTAATGACTGATTGCTCTCATTATTTAGCACCTCCATGGGCAGCAGACAAGCTGACATGGACTCATCAGCAGCTGACCCAGTATTGACTCAATCAGCATTGGTGTTGTGCTAGGCAAAGTACAGGGAGGCTACCTCGCCCCTTACTCCCAGCACTGCTCCTTCTTGTCCTGCACTTCTCAGCATCCACTTTATTTAATAGCTGCTAAAAATAATTCTTTTACTCTAGCTTTTGCATCCAGGAGTGTAGCTCTTCTTGTAAATCTTACCTTCCTGGCTTGTTACCCTGCTACAGTACTTACGTTAGGCAAGGCAATGGAAAATTGTTTTGAGTTCTCCTGATTTAATTTCTTCCTCTTTCCCCCTTGCCCCTGCATTTGCTTGCATAGAACATAAGGAAATCTGTAATGAAAGTAATGAGGACATAGCAGAGAAAAATAAAACCTTTTGGAGAGGTGAGGCAGGATTTGGACAAGGCATCTAAAAATGTCTGTAGGCAAGAGTCACCATTAGGCATTGCAGGGAGATATTCACACAGCAGAAGCTCTGAAGTCATGTTTCCTTTTCCCTGTGCAGAGACAGAAGAGTTCTGGGACAGCTGAGGATCTCCTGCTCCATTGGGAATGGCTGATACAGACCCCATGGCATCACTTCTTGTGCCAGATACCAGCATGTCAACTTGGCATGCAGTGCTGGGCAGCATGCTCAAGGAAGAGGTGGGTGCCCTATCCTAGCTGTTTTTCCCCTATGAATTAACTCTTCTCCCCAGGAGTAGTTTTTGCTGTTGGTACAGCAAAAAGCAGTTGGTACTTAGCTGCTGTGAGCAATTGGAGCCTTTCCTCCCAACTGAGGGAAGGCTGTGGCAGAGCTTTGCTTGCCAGATCACCACTGACTGGGATGTCAAGCTGGGATGTGGATCCCCTTTGCTCCAAGATACCCAAGTGTATTTTTGGACTCACAGGCACTTGCTGTTGAAGAGCCCATAACTCATCTCTGCTGTTTGGGGCCATCTGGGGATAGTCTTTGGTGCTCCAGCTGCAGTCAGTGACTTGTTTTCTGTATAACCCTTCAGAAAGCAGTCACTGGAGTTTGCATTCATTAACCATAAGTAAAAAGCTTCAGAAGGAAAGAAGCAGGCCTAAATCACATAATTCTCACAGCACATTTGGACACACCCTCATGCTCTGCCTTCAGCAACCTGTGCTCCCCTCGCAGTGGAGCTGGTCCCCAAGGAACAGCTGAGCACGATCTCCACATTAGCGACACGCTGCATCTTTTCTGCTCTTGGGAATGAGACTTGGAGAAAGCCACAGCTAAGACACTGCAACACCTGGTTACACTTCTGCAACACAGCAGAAGAATCCCAGCTCTCAGCACACAAAAGGACAGTTCACATGGATCCTCATCCCCTGCTTTTCACCCAGGACCTTGTTGGGAAGATCACACTGCTGTGCTGCACGGCCAGTGCTGAGAGGCAGCAGCTGACAGTCACATTCATCTCCCAGCTGCATCACTCCTCTCCTTTCAGTGCTTCACAGCTGGGGAAGGAAGTGTCCTCCTGCTCTTTCCTTCCTTCCTTCCCTCCCTCCCACCCCCTTCACAAGTGAAGTTCTTGAACCACCTTGCTCTCTCCTTCTCTTTACAAAAGTGACGAAAGTATAACTCCAACTACTTACACTAATACATTCTATTTACAAGGCAATAAATCACTGTCATAATTCATGTATGAGTAGCACTGTTTTAATATGAATAAATATTGGAAATTGAAGGCTCTCTCTTCTTTCTGTTCCTTTGTAGGAGCAGGGGGACTAGTAGCACTTGTAGGAGTGCTTCTTATTTACAGTATCTCCAAATAGCATGATTTAACCCATTCATGTGCATTCTTTAGCAGATTTCATCCATTTACACACACAAGAACCAACACCAGTCCCCATGCAGTTTAACCGGGACCACTTGTGCACGAGGAAGATTGTGATCTCAGTGATTAGACCCCATCACACCCCTGAGGGCTTGGTCCCTGTGTTTTCGCACACACTCCTGTTCACACTGCAGTCATTGCCACCTTGGTATTGCTGTCATGAACTCTAAACCGGGTTCTGTCTTTCTCTGCTCTGCATCTCCCGTGGGCTGTGCTAGCAGGCCTTCATTTGACTTGGCTTTTTAACACCCAGTGGGGCAGGACTCAGCTCCCCTGTGCAATAGCCATGCAGGACACAGCCAAAGCACTGCTGCATCTTCAGGGTGGCTGAAGACACATGTGCTCTTCCCCACCAGCCCCTCCACAGCAACACCCTGCATAGCTCAGTAGCTGGAGGCTCTCAGTGCCCTGCACCCCAGATCCTGCAAGGACAGGGATCCCAGACTCCTCCATCCCAAGCTGAGGAGCCCATCCTGGTATTCCTCTGTTCTGGCAGGGAGCAGAAAGCTGCCTGAATCTTGTAAATCCCCCTTTACCAATAGAGAATTGAGGCAAGGTAGAAAGCTCACAGCCAACCCCTATTAGAGACCTATTATTCATTAAGCTGTTACTACTAAGACAATCAAGCTCTTACAGTGGATAACCAGCCCTGCATCCCTCTGTCTGCCACACGATGGCAGAAGAACCAAAGATCATTGCAAAGTGCTTTTAAAATATCTGCTGCAAACAGGGAAGGCACCTGTCTCTGGATCTGCTGGTGATAAGGGTATCACCTCTTACGTGGCTAACCCAGAGCCCACCAGGAACCCAGCCTGGTCAAGACAAAGCGGGTGGAGGGGGCTGTGCTGCCCATGGCTTCTCCACAGGGAGGTCACAGCTTCATTTCTCCACGCAGGTCTCACATCATGCCATCACATAGCCCAAATACCACAGGAGACCCCCTATTAGTTTCCATGCACACCAGTGACCACAAGGGCTTGAAGAAAGATCTCCAACATTTCAAAACATGAGGAAGCTGTAAATTCAACGGTACGAGCCCTGAGCCACCTGCCAGAATTAGACCTACTTTGTGTAAGCAATTGGATAGGTGACCTCCAGAGGACCCTTCCAACCTGAATTACCCCATGGACCAACTCACTCCAGGTCAGATGCTGCAGCCTGTTCTGCTCCAGATCCTAGCTGTTTTCCCCCTATGAATTAACTCTTCTCCCCAGGAGTAGTTTTTGCTGTTGGTACAGCAAAAAGCAGTTGGTACTTAGCTGCTGTGAGCAATTGGAGCCTTTCCTCCCAACTGAGGGAAGGCTGTGGCAGAGCTTTGCTTGCCAGATCACCACTGACTGGGATGTCAAGCTGGGATGTGGATCCCCTTTGCTCCAAGATACCCAAGTGTATTTTTGGACTCACAGGCACTTGCTGTTGAAGAGCCTATAACTCATCTCTGCTGTTTGGGGCCATCTGGGGATAGTCTTTGGTGCTCCAGCTGCAGTCAGTGACTTGTTTTCTGTATAACCCTTCAGAAAGCAGTCACTGGAGTTTGCATTCATTAACCATAAGTAAAAAGCTTCAGAAGGAAAGAAGCAGGCCTAAATCACATAATTCTCACAGCACATTTGGACACACCCTCATGCTCTGCCTTCAGCAACCTGTGCTCCCCTCGCAGTGGAGCTGGTCCCCAAGGAACAGCTGAGCACGATCTCCACATTAGCGACACGCTGCATCTTTTCTGCTCTTGGGAATGAGACTTGGAGAAAGCCACAGCTAAGACACTGCAACACCTGGTTACACTTCTGCAACACAGCAGAAGAATCCCAGCTCTCAGCACACAAAAGGACAGTTCACATGGATCCTCATCCCCTGCTTTTCACCCAGGACCTTGTTGGGAAGATCACACTGCTGTGCTGCATGGCCAGTGCTGAGAGGCAGCAGCTGACAGTCACATTCATCTCCCAGCTGCATCACTCCTCTCCTTTCAGTGCTTCACAGCTGGGGAAGGAAGTGTCCTCCTGCTCTTTCCTTCCTTCCTTCCCTCCCTCCCACCCCCTTCACAAGTGAAGTTCTTGAACCACCTTGCTCTCTCCTTCTCTTTACAAAAGTGACGAAAGTATAACTCCAACTACTTACACTAATACATTCTATTTACAAGGCAATAAATCACTGTCATAATTCATGTATGAGTAGCACTGTTTTAATATGAATAAATATTGGAAATTGAAGGCTCTCTCTTCTTTCTGTTCCTTTGTAGGAGCAGGGGGACTAGTAGCACTTGTAGGAGTGCTTCTTATTTACAGTATCTCCAAATAGCATGATTTAACCCATTCATGTGCATTCTTTAGCAGATTTCATCCATTTACACACACAAGAACCAACACCAGTCCCCATGCAGTTTAACCGGGACCACTTGTGCACGAGGAAGATTGTGATCTCAGTGATTAGACCCCATCACACCCCTGAGGGCTTGGTCCCTGTGTTTTCGCACACACTCCTGTTCACACTGCAGTCATTGCCACCTTGGTATTGCTGTCATGAACTCTAAACCGGGTTCTGTCTTTCTCTGCTCTGCATCTCCCATGGGATGTGCTAGCAGGCGTTCACTTCACTTGGCTTTTTAACACCCAGTGGGGCAGGACTCAGCTTCACTGTGCAATAGCCATGCAGGACACAGCCAAAGCACTGCTGCATCTTCAGGGTGGCTGAAGACACATGTGCTCTTCCCCACCAGCCCCTCCACAGCAACACCCTGCATAGCTCAGTAGCTGGAGGCTCTCAGTGCCCTGCACCCCAGATCCTGCAAGGACAGGGATCCCAGACTCCTCCATCCCAAGCTGAGGAGCCCATCCTGGTATTCCTCTGTTCTGGCAGGGAGCAGAAAGCTGCCTGAATCTTGTAAATCCCCCTTTACCAATAGAGAATTGAGGCAAGGTAGAAAGCTCACAGCCAACCCCTATTAGAGACCTATTATTCATTAAGCTGTTACTACTAAGACAATCAAGCTCTTACAGTGGATAACCAGCCCTGCATCCCTCTGTCTGCCACACGATGGCAGAAGAACCAAAGATCATTGCAAAGTGCTTTTAAAATATCTGCTGCAAACAGGGAAGGCACCTGTCTCTGGATCTGCTGGTGATAAGGGTATCACCTCTTACGTGGCTAACCCAGAGCCCACCAGGAACCCAGCCTGGTCAAGACAAAGCGGGTGGAGGGGGCTGTGCTGCCCATGGCTTCTCCACAGGGAGGTCACAGCTTCATTTCTCCACGCAGGTCTCACATCATGCCATCACATAGCCCAAATACCACAGGAGACCCCCTATTAGTTTCCATGCACACCAGTGACCACAAGGGCTTGAAGAAAGATCTCCAACATTTCAAAACATGAGGAAGCTGTAAATTCAACGGTACGAGCCCTGAGCCACCTGCCAGAATTAGACCTACTTTGTGTAAGCAATTGGATAGGTGACCTCCAGAGGACCCTTCCAACCTGAATTACCCCATGGACCAACTCACTCCAGGTCAGATGCTGCAGCCTGTTCTGCTCCAGCATCTCTACACTTCTTTTTGGCAATGGGGCCTGAAACCAGCTGGTTTTTGACCTGGAGCAGTCATAATGGTCTGGAGTAATCTCAATACAGAAGAGCTGCTTTACACACACAAGACCTACACTCTCAGTCCCCTCAATCAGCTTACCTCCTATGTAGGACTTCTTACCTCACAGATAAAGAGACTCCAGAAGCACTAGAGCAGCAGTGATGTGCTTACAAGGGACAAGTTCCATACCAGAGCCCTACTTCCAGATGTCATGACACAAAATAGATCTGTACTACCCAGTATCAGGTGGGAGAAATCCAAATGGGTGTTCGTGAACACAACTTCACTGACTTCTGCACCAAAAACCATCATGAAACAAACAAAAAAAAAGTGCCTTACCATGTTTTAGTTCATTCTCATGTTATCCAAAGACAGAGGACTTCATTTGAAGGGACTGACCTCAGCTGGAGCTTTTCGTTCTGGAGAAACTCAGACACACTTCACTGAAGTGGGAAGCAGTCCGGGGAGCAGGTGCACCAATGTCTTTCTGTGGAGACCTAAAAATTGTACAGAGATGTTTTACTTGGCCTTTTGAACTCAATAGCCATACTGTGCTAGTCTGAAAGCAGTCCCATTTGCACATCATGGTAAGCAGCTCTCACTTGTTCCCTTGGCCAACAAAATGCCCTCAGAGAATAACAAGACTTTGAGCCTTTGGTCTGATTGCTGCATTTAGAAAAGGTTAAAATGTCACTCCTTAGAACGTAAGCCTTCCGTGAAGCTTTAGAAATACAGGTAATGGTAATATAAATACTCTGAGCAACTTTGGAATTACTCTCTTTGCAGTTGTGCTCCTACCAGCCTTCAGCGTGAGAACCCAACTGCAGCAGAGGAAGCCAGAGACCAGCGCTGATTTAGCTGTGTTCAGCATTGCCTCAAATGAGGGGAGATACTACACTTAAATCAATGCTTTGCTGTCACTTTCTGCCCATCTTTCTTTTGTATACCAACTATTGAGCAGAATGCAGTTGTACAGCTGTGGGTCTTGCTCTGGATGGATGATGAAGCAGCCTGTAAGTGCCTGAAAACAGGAAGACGCCAACATTTGGAGCTGCTTCGCTTTATAAACTATGTGAATTCTAGAAGTTACCTTTTTCTCCTCCTGTTGAGCCATTTGTGAACCAAAAGGTAGACTAAGATGGCAAAAAGGATGAGCAGCAAAATGATCATCACCACGAAGAGTATTTAGAGTCATTCTGAAATCCAGACTTCTCCTGTTCATGGTTGTTCAAGTATACCCCTGTAAAATAATGAATAGGTGTTAATTTTATATAGCATGTTGTAAAATTGTAAGAGTAGCAGGAGTCGATTATGGAGAACCCAAGCACAGTGATGTGAGCATTACTGACATGGGGAAATGGTGTTTCAGCTTCTGTGGGATGCCATCTGGCACATACATCCAGTGCAATGCATTGAAAAATGCCTATATTGCTGTATTCTGTTCTGTATTGCTTTTGGAAGAGTTTCTTCTCTTCTCATCTCCACACTTTCCTGCACCAGGAAGAAGGGGAACAGGACCTTGTTCTCATCAGCAAAACTGATCATTGCTGGGGCTACATTCGGCAGGTGATTTCCAGTCTGCAGTGATGGCAGGATTAGAGACTGAGCACACCACTTTCCAGACCCACATTTCTCCCTAGATCTCCTTGTAAAGTATTCTTTTCTTTGAAATGGACTCATAATCTCATTTTGCTGCAAGATGCCTCTTCCAGATACTCATGGAAGTATGATATCTTCTTAGAAAGAAATAATCAGAAAATGTTAGAAAGGGAAAGGGGTTTTTAAGCTATTCTGTACCTCAGAAGTACAGTTTCTTCTCCTTCTTTACAATTGTCTGACATGATGCAGATACCTCTTCTTTTTTGTAGAACTCATGTCATCCTGTTCTCTGCTAAGACTTACTAGCATATAGCAGCTATAAACTGGTCTATTTTAGCTCAGCTGTTAGATCATTTTCAGGCAACAGCTGCTCTTCAAGGGATGGGAGCCAGGACCCGAGGGGATAACCCAGCGAGCAGGACAGGACCTCAGCAACCAGGACCCACACCACCCCCAGGGAGGGAGCAGGGCAGGCCAGGGGAGCAATCAGGTTCAATCAAGATCTTGGATCACCAGACAAGTCCACAGTGATAAGGCAGGTCCAAGGTCAAGTTTAGGAGGTCAATCCACAGCTCAGGGTCAGGTCCAGCAGAAATATCCAGCATCAGACACAGCTCTGGGATGTCCAGGCAGAGCCACAGTGCTGAGACAGATCCAATAACGATCCGGGACATGAACCCACAGATCAGGGTCCAATGACAGCCAAGGCATGGCTGTAGCTGAGCTTTCCTGCAGAAAGACAAGCTTTTCTGCAAGCAGCTCAAGCAGACACTGAAAGTCCAGGGCCCAGATTAAAACTGGCTCCTGATCCCATGGGCGGAGTGTGAGGGACAGGCCCCAGGTGAGGCTGTTCAGGGCCATTAAGACCTATTAGTGCCCTCAGGGCTCTGGCAGTCATTGATCAAATCAGTTTGCGAGACCATATGCTGCAGAGAGGGTCCTGACTCACAGACAGATCACTTTTAACAGATCATTTTTTTGCCATTCGCTGTTTGAAACAGAAAATTAATACCCTCAATTGCTGTAAATTAAGTCTTTCTTTAGATTAACAGTGGCGATTAGCTGCTCTCTATCTGCTGAAATGATCCACTAAAGGCTTAGGTTACGAAATATCAAAACTGTGTCTTCAGTGCTCATTTTAGATCATACAGGTTTGAATGATGTCAATATTATAGACATCTGAAAGTGTGCTGCTTCTCAAAAAATAAAATAAAATATAAAATTGTAAAATAAAATATAAAATGAAATTATCTTCACATTTGGAAAGTCAAAACAGGCGAGGACTCACATACAGTGATTTCATTTTCCGACACAAATTGCAGCAATCCCATCAGTTCTTCTCCTCCTGTAGCACCCTGAACACCGGTGAAAGCTAAGGAGGGCATTAGCTGAGCTGCAGCCTCGAGTTGAGCGGCTGAAAAAACCTGGAGGTGAGGTAAAATTAAAATATCACGGGTAGCTCCTGCCTGCCCCAAAAGCATCTTCTCGGTGTGGTACCCGCGGCAGGTGGCGCTCCCCGGCTACAAATAGAGAGAGAGCTGGAAATCAGGCACTTGGCAAAAGTTCCTTTTCCTTCCCCCTTTCCCAATCCCTTTTCTCCATCCCTTCCCCCCTTCCTCCTTTTCCCCCCTTTCTCCACTTCCTCCTGTCCCCCTTTCCCTTCCCACTATCCTTCCTTTTTCCCCCTTTCTCTCCCTTCTCCCTGCAAGGAGGACCCCCTCATTGTTCAGTTATTCCTGCAGGAGCCACAATTAAAAAAAAAAAAAAAAAGTAGGAGAAATAGAGGTTCGTTTATTGGGGGACATGCAACTCATATGTGAAACTTGTCTAGAGAAATCACATGCAATCTCACACAGATCTTCCTGCTGCTTTTCTAGAGTTTTTCCAACTTTCATAGAAGTTTGGGTCCTGAGGGTATGATGGGCAGCATTCCTGCATATACAGATTACAAATTTTTTTCCAGAAGTTAAATAAAGTATATCTTGGAGATGTATTCCCTACAATCACACTCTATGAGCTCACCCCGGCAAGACCTTTCAAGGGTCATCTGCTCTCCCTTCCTGCATACACAGATTACAAAATTTTTTCCAGAAGTTAAATAAAGTATATCTTGGAGATGTATTCCCTACAATCACACTCTATGAGCTCACCCCGGCAAGACCTTTCAATGTACACTCCCTGTGTTGGTAAGAGAAGGCATCTTCACTGAAGGTGGCAAATTTCCACTTCTGTTAGATCTTGCTAGACCTTTTAAAAACACACATAGGAAGGCCGCCTTTCCAGATCTCCTGTTTTATAAGTAACTCAATACTCAAACTACCTCTCCACTACTTTTTTAAGTAAACTAAACCAGGTAGTTTCTCAAATTTAACCTTAAAGACTTTAAGTTCCTTTTTTCAATTTCCTTTTTTCAATTTCCTTTGAAGTCTCTCAAGATGTTCCAGATCCTCCTACAAATTTCTACACCAGAATTGGGCTCCCATTCAAATAGAGGACCCCATCTCCCCACTTTACTTGACATACTCCCTCCCTTTACTTGGGAGAACAAACAGCAGATGGCCAGACGGGACTCACCTCTCCAGACTTGGGAACAGCAACCCCAGGACTGCAGGACTGAAGCTGCTGCTTGCGTAGTTGTGGCACCCACTCCCTGTTTGTTCCTCAGATCGCACAGGATGCCAGCAATGTGGGTCTTCTATCCTACAGAAAAAAAAAAAAAAAAAATTGTGCAAAATTATAAAAAGAATTGGACATTTGCTGGCACTCGCAAGAATTCTCAGGGGAGAAGGACATTTGCTGGAAGACGGGGGAGAAGAAATGGTGTGTGGGGAGGGAGCAGGTGAACTTAATCTACAGCAGCTTCTGAGTGTGAAGAAGACTATTAGTGCCACTGGCACATTTCACGTTCATAGCTGTGGTGCTAGGCTATTTGTGTCATCTCCCTGCTATGAATTAAGAACGAGGAGTAACAAATTGTGCTGTCAGTCAGACACATTAGGAGAAATCCCAGTGTATGGTTGCTTACAAAAAAGCTAGTAACCCACCCGGAGCCAGAAAATCAAACTGAGGCTGAGAATTCTCTACATTTGGAAACACATAAGTTGGCAGCACTGGGCCAAATATACCACTGTGACAAGCAGCACAATCCTCCTAAAATGGACAAGGTTCTATCAGACCCCAAAACTGGCCTTACCCACTCTTTATCAGTTAAACTGTTGAGGAGACCGACCACTAGGGCAGTACTTAGTATGTGTCTTTTTCAAGCATGCACTTTTCATTAAGTAACTTATTTTAGACAAAGAACTTTTCACAGGAAGATGAGAGGACCTGCTTGATGAAATATTGACTCTCCCAATTCATATTAGATTCTCAAATCTAAGCATCATTCAGCAGCTCTGAATTGACTAATGGCCATCTCAGCAAATGGATTTCCACCTTCATCTTTAGTTCTTGTCTGAATTATATTAATACACATTGTTTATCTCTAATGAGCTCTAGAATATGATGTTAACAGAAGCAATTAAGGCCCAGCGTAACTGTCTGCAACGCTGTGCTGGAGCTGAATATATGGCTAATGAATCACTTCTATAGCTCCGTTCCAGTTTCCTTACTGCAAATTGTACTTCAGATGAGTTAAGCTCATTTTAGTGTCCAGGCTGTTGCTTTTATTTTTAACTTGTGTGTGTGCAAGAGGTTGCTTATATAAGAAAGAAGCAGATAGGTCCTTTGAAGAGCTAGTCTAATGTTTTTTATTTATTGCTCAGTGATCACAATTACCTTCAAAGAGAGGTGTCAGATTTAGACTTCCTTTTCCCCTACTGAGCATAGATTTAAATTTCTCCTAAGGTGTTTAAGTTCAGGAAAACAAAGCTTGATTCAGAGCACTGTTTAGCCAGGATGGTCAGGCCCTAGCTTTTTGTGCAGATAACCATGACTGAGAGGTCGGGTGCGTCAGGTTTTTTAGCCTAGTTGAACCCCTGTTCAAAGCAAAAGGGTGTCCCTCTCTAAAATATTTGGTGAACTGCTGGATTCAGGGAAAAATTTACATATAATTTGTGGCCACAAAAAATTAAAAGCTAAGACTGAGGTCAAAAGAAAAGCGAAGTATGATGCTACTCAGACAATTTTTGTTTTGAACTACTGCCCTATCCCAGCAAAGATTGGGCATCCTGGTCTTTAATGAACTATATTAAACATTAAACACTGAATCTTCAAGTTACTTGGAGCCCCTGAAAAGGAAAGAAAAGCTGCTACTTGACAGCAACATTCTCAGAAACGAAGACGAGAATTGCTGTAAGCCTCCAATTTAATGGCTTGGTCCTACAGTTGAAGCCAGAGAAATTTTACTATTGCCAGCAATAGGAACCTGTTGTAGATAAAGTTCTGTTTGAAACACCTGAGCTTTTCCCCGTGTTCTGATCTACTGAATAATCCTCTCATCTAGCCTTGAAGGCAAGCAAAGAAAACTGTAAGTATCAGACAACATGATCATTTGATCTCCTACTGTAAGAAATTGCTGCAACAAGCCAATGCCAGTTTGAATTTGCTCCTGTCATATATTGTGGCAGGAGCCTCAAAATCTGCCTGAAGGTGCTGCATCAGTCCAAACTGAAAAAGAAGTTAACAGCCATAGAACTATTGCTGTTCATATGTTCAGCTTCTTGCTTCGCTACAACAGAGCTGGCATCCTACACCTGGGATTTTTTCCTCAAAATGAACAATTTTGCCAATAGGCTCACCTGGCTGGAGTGGGCTGGGTTGGGCTGCTCTTTCTCTCAGTCCTGGTTCTGGCTGGTGGTTTTAAAACATCCATCTGAAACGCAAGCTGAAATGTAGCTCTTCAGGTAGCAAAGTGGAACACACTTGGCTGCTGCAGGAGAATCAGACAATTTTTACCTGTCTTCACCGACAGATGTTATCACCACACCTACAAGCAGGCTCTGCACTTCGACATACTTGATCTCCGACTGATGCTTAGTACCAAATTAGTCAGCAGTTCCTTTTTTATTTTGTAAGGAGTTATCTATCTAAGGACCAAGATCAAAGCAGCAAGAGCATCATTTCATTGTGCTGACTTGAATTGCAGTGTCACTTTAATTTGCAATCACTGAAGCAAAACCTCACCAAAAGCAAAGGAAATACTCCAGCAATTAGCCTGCACTCAACTCGGTGCTGCAGGAGGCAGGCTGCTGTACCAGCCCTGCTACTGAGCTCGGGGATGTCCCCACCACCCACCAAAGCCCACAGGTGAGGGGGCAGCTCTGAAATGGTGGAGCTGTGTCACTGGCGATGAGAAAGGGAGACTTGCTGGGACGTTTTAGAACAAAATGATCTGGAAAGGAACTTAAAGAAGTCAATCTTATGCCGCTATTTTTTGTTTGCTGGCTTGTTCGGTTTTGATACATGAAAAGGGGAATTGACAGAAGCTTATTTCATGCAAATTTTAACTTAAGCAAAGGCAAGGTTATTGAGTAACTTCTGGGCTTACAAGGCTCCTCGGTTTACTCGGGAGCGGACTATGTACTTCCACTGAAAGACATGAGAATAGAAGATCTGTGCTATAAGTGTTGGGAAAAAAAATAATTAATAGCCACACCCAGTTTCCTTATGCAGTTCCCTGACACATTAAGCTCCAAGGCTGTCCTCTGGATTCTCCAAACCTGACTCAATAATGCCGGGGGGGGACATTCACAGCTCAGGCATCAAAAGCAGGAGAAGATGAACCAGTGCAGCTTTTATCACAGTGCATTTGTAGGATGTCTTCATCATCTACATTACCTTTGCCACTAATACGTTTTATAGCAGAAATGTCCTCCTGTGCTGGGCGTTGTACAGTCACACACACACATTCCCATCTCCCCAAATTTACAGTTTCTATCAACAAGGAAAGGAGTGGATAGATGAGAAAAACCTTCACGCTGTTTTACACAGAGACAACTGAGACATCAAGTGACAAAGCAGTTTTCTCATGGTCTACAGAAAACCTAGGACACTCTTACAGGCCAGAACTTCACTGGCCAAAGCCCAGTATGAAATAGGCAGTCAGTTCCTCTTAAGGCCACCAGCAGCATGGACCTCTAAGACTGTCCTTCAGCGCCTGGACAGCTGGGTTGCCTACATGGCATTTGTACCAAACAGATGCAGGTAATTCAGAAAAGCGATGTTCCCAGGGTTTCTTTGCCCATCAGGATGGCAGGCAGAGAGTTTGAGCCCTTTTACAGATGACTGCACCAGAGAGTATTCACCAATCCCTCAGAAAGCCCTGTCCCTCAGCGTTCAAGCTGCTGGAAACTGAGCACCAAACACCCCACCCCAGCCCTCGCCACTGGTGGGTGACCAAAGGCGAGGAGGTCTGAAGTGGAGACACCAAAAAAAAAAATTAAAAAAAATTTAAAAAAAGGTTAAACCCGTGAGGGATGGTGTGGCAACCACCTCCCGTCAGCGCCCTGCCCATCTGCCCGGGCCCCTTTGTGGCGGCCGGTTCTCAGGGGGGGCCGGGGGGGCGGCCATGGGTGCTATATTAGGCACCTGCGGCTCGCACAATGGGCTGTGGGTGCTCGGGGGAGAGACAGATTGATGTATTGTGTGCGGGGGAGGAGGGCTGTCACTTGAATCCATGTGAACCCAGGCTTTCGGGGCAAGGGAGATTGACAGCTTTTGTAGGTCGCAGCTCTCTTTCAAAGCTCTGCTTTATAGACAGTAGGTTAGGGGGCCCGGGCTTTCACTCCCATAATTCGAACAGGGCAATCATCAGCATTGAGAATTTCTTCTCTCTCTCCCTCTCTCTCTCTCCTTTTTTTTTTTTTTTTTTTTTTTAACCCCCCTTGTTATGCATTAAATGATTTCAGTGGAGGAATGTGCAGCATTAATTAGAATTGGTTAGCAGATACCAAGGGGAAAAGTTTCTTCACAACAACTATAGGAGGTGTCACTGCTACAAAGACGGTTTTGTTTTCGCTCTCCCCCGCATTATCAGTGCAATATGTAAGGTAGCGATTCTTTTCATTTAAATTAAGTGGAAAGCTACTAAATCTTGTTTTATTCTCCAAAAAGAAAAAGGTCCTTAACACTTATCTTTTAACTTCTTTTATTTTGTAAGGTTAGTGTTTACTTTTGCTTTCAGTCCTCCCCATTAATCGGCCTGCAAAGATGTGTATCCAGTTTTGTGTATCATTTAGCTCTTACAATCATAGGCCAGTACAACTAATATATAAGGATTGTCTCCTGATTAAAGCAACAACGTTACCATTTAAAATCAAAGGCGCTCATCTAGAAGGACACATTGAAATTCAGAAGTGTGGCTGCCTGTTCTCTGCGGGGATTTCCTAGTTTCTTTCAACTTTTTAAATAGAAGTTAAGCTAAAAGATGGGCTTGAGCATATAAAGTAAGAGCTTAGAAGAAACGCTCATTAATATATTTATGTACAGATTTGTATTTCATTCCTTAAAAACTTTTCCCATCGAGAACATGCAAACAAATATCATCCCTGATAGTGTTTAAATAGTTTCTCCCATCAAATGTACTCAATTAGTTTATCAAAAAGAATTAGAAAAATAATTTAAAAAAAAAGAAAACAAACTGAAGTGAGTTTTGACACTTAACAATAGACACAATCCTATGGGCTACACCATATGTAATACCACATTCTTTTGTTTTCTGTTAAGGGTTTTAAAATTACCAAATTATTGCCACTTTAAGCATCATCTCTTAAGACATGTAAAGCCAACTGCTGTATCCAGAAGTAAATTACTAAGGCTCCATGCACTGGAGGTCTTCTTGCAACAAACTCACCCAAAATGTGAAGGCATTTATACTATGCCCACAGTATCAGTCAGCAATTGCCACTAGTCTTCTTTGTACCAGGAAAAGAATAATTCTTGCTTGTTCCCCCCGAGGGAGTGCTGGAAAGCACAGCCACAGGCAGAGCTGCCCGGGCAGGACAGAGCAGGAACTCCCAGAGATGCTGTGCTTCTCCTGCAGGGCAGGTACCACTGCTTCATTTTTTTTAATCTGATTCCCACAGTCTGGCCAATGCATTATATAGTCAAAATCACCGCTTAAAAAATAAGCTTTGTTGTTCGGTATCTGGATCATAACAAGCTTTCTTTATATCTTCATCTTCCTGAGGAGTCAGGAGTTACCAGTGGACGACAGAATGTTAGAGCTTTTTTTGACATAGCTCAGCATTGGCACAACAACTTTAAGAGCTACGTAAAGATGAGCTAAAGAGGGCTTGTGCAAAAGAAGAGAGGAGCAGCATCTACTAAACATGGGATGCAGGTTTCTAGGTAAAAATTTAACTGAGTAAAAAGCCAACTAAAACATTTCACCTTCTTGCTGAACGCTTTTCCCCACCATGGACTGGAGGAACAAGGCTATTAAACATCTGACATCATTGTCTTGCAAGGAAAAATGCATTGGATATCAAGAATTCTTTTCCATACTGCAGGGGGAGGGAGAAGCAGAGTCTCTTCCCTTCCACCTCCCTAACACTGCCAGTTCAGCACCAGCGGCTGGGATTTAAGCCGTGCAGGGGGAAGCAGAGTCTCTTCCCTTCCACCTCCCTAACACTGCCAGTTCAGCACCAGCGGCTGGGATTTAAGCCCTGCAGCCTGCACTGTAGCACCGAATACTCTCCCAGCGTTAATTAATTAATTAATTAATTCATCCGGTGCCAATTTGCAGAGGATCCAGAGTTGTTTGCTGCCTCGGACACAGAGCAGCACTTCTCTGGGGAGCTGAGGTCACTGCAAAGATGGGTTTTGAAGTCAGCCCCGGCCGTGGGGTCAGCCGAGGCAGCCCAAAGCCCTCTCAGCAGCAGTTCACATCCCCACACAGCCCCGGCTCCGCGCAGCGGGACCAGCTCACAACCTCCAGAGAGGCAATGCTGCTTTGTGGGTCACTCTTGCCAAGTTTTCCCGTGTCTCCTGCACCCTAGCCCAAGAGCCACCTCCTCTTTATTTTTTTTATATTTTTTTTTTTGGACCAGTGTACCTCTCTCAGAATTATGCATCCCTTATGCATGTAAATGAGAGGGGTCCAATTACACGCGAGGGAGAAAGGGTTTAATGAATCGTGAAAAAGCAAGGGTTGCATAGAAAAAGCTCAATCCTGGTGCCTCCTCATCCCCCCGCTTGGAAACGTGCATTTCTCATTTTTGAGAGTTACGAGAGAATGCAGAGGAGTGAACGGGAGAAACCCTCAGCTGAATGAATACAACGCTTGTTTGTGTTTCTTACAGCTGCACTTGAAATCTCTGATACTCACTTTTAAGGAAAAAATAATTAAGCAAAGAAGTTAAGTTCCTCTACACAGCATAAACAAATGCACTACCTGATTTGTAGATAACTCTGTGTTCAAGTTCTCCCATCTGGAGTACATTCCTCTTCTTACTCTCCTTTCTTCTGTGTGTCTACATAAGGTCTTCTATGAATTTAAAGGACAAAGAACAGGCATAAGCCGGTTGTTATTTATGAGGTCCTGTAAAATACAGCCACAGTTACACAGTCTAAGTCATATGACTAACTTCCACACCTGGTTGACCCTGAAATTGATTGTTTATCACTGGATTTACCAGGTGAATGTGAACTAGAAAGCATAGGATACAACGAGCATTTTAAGGCAAAACATTAAAACAATATTATTAATGTCAAGTATGATTTCATATAATTACATTTAAAACAGACATCAGTAGTAATAGTAAATTGATTTGTAAATATTCTGGGACTCTTCAGAGGGCTTTTATTTCTGGTGGGTTTGGATATTTTTTTTTTTTCTTTAACAGGATTAATGATTGGTTACTGACTGTTGTTAAAATGACTTTAATACCTCAAATTACAATGTAGGGAAAACTCCCAGTGCCCTCAATAGGAATTATGCAGCATTGTGGTCCCAAGTTGTGAAAAGAAACAGACTTAAGTGCTTGAGCATGAAGATGTTCTCCCTTTTCCATATCAATGAGGGAATCACAAGTACTGAGCAATTACATCTCCAACTGAAATGTAGCAGAGCTATTATCTGTTCAATATCTTTAAAATTTGGCCTCAAAGTTTCCTCTTCCACAACAACATCAATAGGACAACTCCACATGTGCACAAATTTACATGGGAGTATGAATAACTTGTGGAGCTACACCAAGCCTGCTCCAATTTTTTACTAACGTGATCTAGAACCCAACAGGCAGGATGCATGTGAAGGCCAGTGCATAACTTCTAGCACTCATGAGCAAATATTTCTCATTAGAAGCATGTGGAATAAAAAGAAAGATCTACTACTGTGGTGTTGTATGTTCTTAGTTATTTCTGCACAGGTAGAAGAGTCCTGGCCCACTGCTGGTGATCCAGGGTGCTGCTCTGTTTAGCTACTGCTACGAGTAGTGGAACTAAACTCTATGATCTTAAAAAGAAGTTGTCATTATCCCAATTACTCCTTCAGCTTTGAGGTCTTGAAGTGGTTCAAGCCAACAGAACCTCCTTGAGGGTGAAAACAAAATGAAAGTGGTGCACAGAGATGCCCATCTTTGTGTCATCTATTAATTTTTCTAAAATTCCAGTGATGCCTTTATTGGAATTTCCATCTGTCAGGACTCTTGGATATGTTGTCAGTGTGAAGGACATGCTGGTCAGTAACCTCCATGTACTGGATGCAAGTGTTTCCATCTACACTACTGGAATTGGGAGGGAAGGGATGATGCCAGTACAGATAGTAGCTGGAGCAGCCCAGCTCCCTTAGGAAAGGAAATAAAAGGAGTAATATGGGAATATCATAGGATAGTAAGGGTTTGCCTGTCTCCATATCCACAAAATCTATAAACCTGAGCTTTCCTAAAGAGATGTCATTGCTGAATCTTGTGAGGTTTATCTCTTGTCATCATCTCAGGCTAGTTATCCTGAAACAAGCCTCATGCAGCATGTGTTCCGAAGTCCTGAATTGCTAGCCATATTCACACAAATGACTGCTATTTCCTCACCTGGGAAGGGACCATAGAGATCATCTAGTCCAACTCCCCTGCTGTAGCAGGATTGCCTAGAGTTAGAGCATGTTACTCAGGACTGCATCCAGGCGGGATGTATGTAAAACTAAAAAGATTTTTGTTTATCCTATTCTAATGTCCTACTCATTTGATGTCTCTTGATGTTGTGCTGCCTTCAATAGTCTCTTGTATGATGGGAGAGAGGGAGGGGAGCCTTTAACAGGCACTAGTCTCCCATACCTGCGTGGTGTCAGCAGCTGGGTGTTTGGGTGAAACAGCTTGTTGTCAAAGGTGTGGTCTGGTGGGTTCTCTTTCATTTCTGGACTGGGATTCAGACAGCTTTTCTTCACTGCTAAATGTGGATTAGAGATGTAAAGGGTGACAGCTTAAACAGTCAGCCCATCATAACAGAAGTAAAAATGTTACAAATCAAGACAATAGGAAAAGAACTGACTGCTTTTTAGTTAATCGATCAGTTCACCCTTTGGGCTGTGCCTGTGCCCTGCGCCCCTTCCCTCCAGGATGCTTTCCCCTCCCACTGATGCCAAAGGCAGCCACAATAATACAAACAAGTTGAGAGCAACGATAAACTGTTACCTTTAAAAAAAAATTAAAAATGCAAAAACCTAGTTCTCCTGTTTTCCTTCTCATGCCCCCATGCATCATTGTACGGGCTCTGAACAGACAAGCCCACTATTACAATGTTGTCAGGGCCCTGCTAGTTTTCTAGTTCAAATCCTTGTTCATGCTGTTTGCTAAGTACTTGTTCACTGTGACAGCTTTCAGCAAAACAGAACACACTGAATGCTTCTTTCCAAACAGCTCTGTCCTGCTGGGCTTCAAGTGAAACAAGCCCTTCAGACTCCATCATGTGAACTTTTCATAAGGAACAATCTCCTTTAGACAATTCCTTTCAGAGATACTATCCGTGAAACTGGGACTTGGGGATGAGGTGACATCACAGCCTTCTTCCTCTGGCCAGGGTCATGGCCACCAAAGTTGTATTTGTCAGGAGGCCTCCACATGGCATGGTGCATGATTTCCTTAATTACCTAATGTTTCCCTACTAAAAAAAAAAAAAAAAAATCTACAACAACTTTAAAGTGTATTTTAGTACATTTTCTGTTGAACAAAAAGCAAATGCTTTTGTGCAGACAGTCAAACCCTGGGTTGTAAAAGTCAGAACTGATTACTGAAAACATGACTCATGTGGAGTTAAATCTTAAAAGCAGATGTGCAAGAGCTGGTAGACCAAAACTGAGATAGATCTTTGCTGTTTCCCTTGCTGGTGTCTGCACCTTGTGCCATTCCCTTCTGGCTCACCTGCCTGCTCTCTTCTTGGTAACATTCATGCACAGAAACAATCAGGAGGTTTGATGAACAAGTCATGCTCTTACCACTGAGTTGGAGAGTAAATGGGGCAAAAAGGGCTAAGTTAGAGAGTCGGGCATGATTGCAAAATGTCGTGTGCACTTCAGCAGCAAGAACTTAGCCCTCTGCTAAGTTCTGCTCCCACCTCATTGCCAAGGACAGACTTTAGAAAGGTACCACCACCTTTCCAGGAGATGGAGGTTGAATTGATGACCCACGAAAGCTGTCCCAACCCAAGTGACCACCACCCCGACCATCTGTTGTGTTTAGGCAGAGGGAGAAATAGTAACGTGGTAAAAGCACAACAGAAACAGCCATGTGGAGAAAAGTGAAATTCAGTGAAATACTGCAACCACATCCTTATTTCTGAAGCAAGTCTCAAAAACACACTGACTGCACCTTTTCACTGTGATTATGACTAAAGTTGTCCAGTTTTGTTGTTATGTTATGATAACTGTAGTCATACGTTGTTATGTTTGTTGTCTTGTTATGACAACAAGAGCTTGAAAAGCTGTAACAAATAACTTTTTATTTATCATTTCCAGCATGCATTTTCCTAGACATGGAAAGTCCCTAAATGGTGTCCTTCTTTGCTACAGAGGACTAACAGTCCCTTCTTCAGGTTGTCTTCTACTAAGTACTTTACACAAACTCCCTGTTTGTTTCCCTCCTTCCTTTTACAAGGACGGAAGAATTGCAATGTTTAAGTGCATAGTCCAGAACAGCACACACCTCTTTCTTTATAGACCTCTACAGGCTCAGGATGAAGTATGTTCTTCACCAAGTCTTTTCATACCACCACTAAATGGCTAAGTTTAAGTTGAACTGTGTTCCAGGGAATCCAGAATTGTGACCACCAGAGTGACAAGTCTGTGCTGGCTTTGTCAAGATCTGAGGAATGTGTTTTGTCACTTTTATCATACCACAAATGAATTACTCTCTAATAAACACATAAAGCAGGTATCAGGTGTTTCGTCAGGCTCAAAAATATCTTGTAGGATTGAATTTAGTTCAGTGATACTCAAAGCTAGTATCTCCCTCTGGTGCCCACATCCCTCAGACCCTTGTAATTGCATTGCAAGTTTCTTATCACTATGAGTATAACAGGGTTTTTTTTCAGCAAAGCAAGTCTCTTTTGCAAGGAGACCAATTATGATAAGACTGCCCTCCCACTGATTTTTTTCAGCTGCTCCCTGAACCAGATAGCATGTTTTCATTGCCAAAAAGAGAAGTGACCTCCTCCTCTTTTTCTTTGCTTTTCCAGGCCAAAACTCCTCTCATTTCAAGCATACTACAGTGCGGAACTTTGAAAGAGAAAGGACTAGGCTTTTTTAAAAATGCCAATCTTATTTAGGGACTTGTAAAACTTATAGCCTAAGTACCTACTCAGAACAGCTTCCTACAGAAGCAGAACAGTGACCATTTATCCAGCAGTGCTGTACTCACCAGCTCTCAGGCGCAGCTCTCTCCGGTGGCCTCAGTCTGTGAGAGGGGATAGTCCTTTGAACTCAAGTTCTCTAGGAAAGGGTCATGCCGATTTGGCTAGAAAGGCAAAATCCTAGTCATTAATAATATCCTCTGGCAATTTTACCCATCCTTATGCTGCACTGAAGGAGCCACCACCCCCTGTCCTTTCTTTAGCCCTTGAAGACGCAGGCAGATGTCCGCTCTGCAGGCAGGTGTTGCCCCAGTCCAGAAGTCACCACTGCCCAGCTGCTTGCTGGATTTGTGGGATGGTTTCTCTAAGTGCCCTCAAAATGCTCCAGACAAACCCTGGATGGCATATTTTAAGCATTTTTAACAAAATAGCTTGGGTTAGCCTGGAAAATTTTGTCTGAAGCGAGAAAATGCTTACATTCTATTCTCAACACAAGACTGAGAGTGAACTCCCAAGCAGAGGTGACCTCTAGCTAGAAATGGTGACATTTCCAGCTGGTAGAGCTGGCTACAGAAGATGCCACCACTGCACACTGATTCTGGGCAGCTGCATAGCTGCAGATGGGCAGGAGGCACTTCTATCTCCCACCTCTGTCTCCCTCCACCTCTATAAAATATCCACTGTCATTTTTTATGATTAGCATCTCTGGGTTTTGTCTCTAAACCTCCAAAACTATGTTGCCCCACCTGCACCGCTCCTTGCGGCATTTGTAACACCACAAAGAGGATGGCAGCTACAGATCTGCTGCTAGAACTGTTACTGTTTGACCTGCCTGCCTAGGAAATAACACCCAGTAGCAGGATTTTATGTCCTTGCATATCATAGGAAAAAGACATTGTTTCTTCCATTCCCCACACCCACAGATAAACCACATTACTTGTCTTCAAGTTGTTCTGTTCCCAGGCTACCCTATCTTTAACTCACCCACTGTTTGAAACTGTAAAATACAGAGCCCCTTTCATGCAGGGAGGGATGTTCCTGCCAGGTCCCAGTGTTCTAGGGAATTTGCCAGATCCCTCAATAATCTGATCCTCTGCCTTTTGGCTCCAGTGTTCAGAGTTGGCTCTTTGGTCTGAGTTCTCCCAAAACAGGCTCTCCATCCCCTCCCGTATCGTGCTTTCCCTACTGCCTGGTAACCGTGTGTAAGGTCCATCCCCTTTAGCATTTCCTTCCCCAGCAGAGCTGCCTGAGGAAACACCAGGAGCAGTCGGTCCCTCCACCCTCCAGCCAGCACAGGCATAGGCAAGAATGAAGGATTTCTATTTGCAGCATCCCATTTGAGTTTTCTGGTCATTAGAGCACTGCAGTAAATGCACTGGGCTCGATTCCCACAGCACAAAATACCCTTCGTAGGGCTGCTGGAAGCCAGCAGAAGTGCTAGAAATAGGGAGAGGGAAAGTCTTATAAAAGACGGCCCAAACAGAGACTGGGAAGGGACCAGGTACAGCTGAGCTGCACTACATTGAGTCACCAATTACTGTTTGGCACACCTTCCCCTAGCTGGGGAAGTCAACTGTACCTACCAGGCTTAGTGGCCAAAGGTAAGAGATGTCCCCTACCCTCCGGGGCTGCTGTTTGGATAAGAACTAGAATTTAGGCCAATTAATCATTATGGACAATGCTAAGTAAAGTAAAAAGTCCATGCCAGCAAGACTGCAATAGTGTCAGTCTGAGAGAGAAGAGAGGTGACACCCTGTTTAGCTGTTTTATCCTTACAGGGACTGAAGGATATTGCTGCTTCAGACAGCTATTGGCCGTCTGACTGACTTCCCTTGCAAGCTCTTGTTCCCTCTTCTAACCAAAACGAACAGATTTTGCAGAAAAGGAATGTAATTTTAAAAGTCCTGAGTTAATCAAGTGCTTCAAAAACACAGTGCCCGTGATACAATGGATCAACTTTGTCCTGGGTGTCAGCCCATTCACTCAAACAAGCTTACACCAGAAATGAATTTGCTCTGGTGCTTTTGTCAATAAAATTCTAGATTAAAAAAGACCCTATATAGAGCTGGTCCCAGAGGTAATTGCTAGTTAATCAGCCAATTAACTGACCCAATGAGTAGGAAAAGGGGAAGGGGGAGTAAGGGGGAAAACAAATCAGTCAAGGTATGGTAGAACATAATTCTTTAGGAGTTAATGTTAGAAACCTTTTCAAAGGGATTACAGCCTACCTTGACTCATTCCCCTCTCTTCTTTCCTTTTTCTCTTCTTCCCAATTTGTAATTGTTGGTTCCCCTAATTGGCTGATTAACTACTTATTACAGACAGACCTGGAGGTATGTGGGATCCCGTTAGCCACGGAACTTGATTTCATCTAGCAAAGCAAGGGTGAACATAGCACAACATCTGCATGGGCAGTTTTTCTCCTACCCGGGCTGATGGCTTAGAGTCAAGTGCCATTTCATTTGAGAAAATCCTTTTTTAAACTAGCTTCTATTTTAATTATTTAATACTGCAAAGAAAATGAGGGATTTTTTTTTAACAGTTGTTATGCAAACAGAATGATTTCTATCAATGGAGTTTTTACCCCTCAAACTAACCTATTATCAACGCTACCAGGATATTTTGATGAATGAGCTGTTACAGTTGCTTGACGTTACGATAATAAGTAATGACAATAGAATTAACCTCTGTTTTCCTTTAATAGTGTTACCAGGCTGCTTTCTACCAGCAGCAAGCCTGGCAGATGAGCCCTAATGGTGAAAAGGGCAAGCTGAGAAAGTTACCCTAATTTCCTCTCCTTGGAGCTCTGTAGGGGAAAAGAGCAGAGCTCACCCTTGCGCTCATTGGCTTCGCATTTTATTAGTAATCACTCAAAAAGGAGGTACCAGTCTGTTCTGGTACATCCTGAAACCACACAACCAAGGAGGAATTCCAAGTTGCTCTCTGACACTTCAAACAGGAGTTCTGCTGCTTGTTCAACACAAAGCAAATCTCATAGCATCTCATTAATGCACCTTTTCCAGCATCATGTAGACAGAGATGGAGCTGCTACCCTTAAAACACTGACATCACAGCTACACAGGGCACTAAGTTTGACCTCTCTAAAACAATAGCTATCAACGCATGTATAACCTATCAGTGCACATGGCTGACCACACGAAGGTTATTTTCTAAAACTCCTGGATTGTTTTAGTCGCTCACCCTCCTGTGCACACAGTAAATAAAATTCTTTTTCTCTCCACATCGCTTGGGCAGCAGGACCCTGTGGAAAACAGCAACTCCTCCCAGAATGATTGTCCAGGTAGACAGGCACAGAACAGGGTTCTCCTGACATAGCCTCTATTGCATAAACCTCTTCTTCTAATTCCACTTCTCTCCTTCAGCTTCAGAAGAGAGTTTGGGATTTTAGTTTTATTTAATATTTGTGACGATTTATTCCTCCCATCCCTCTCTTCTCCCTTAGCAAAAGAGCAGGCTGAGCCTGGGCAGCCCATCCTCAACTGCATGTAAATCACAATCTGATTAGGAAGTGATATATTCATCTCTAACTCCTGCATAAAAGTTATTCAAGTATTTTGACAAAATAAGTGCTGTTTACTTTATACATTTTCTGCTAATTCTAAAGATTTCTGCAAACCTAAAGGATCTCATGGAATTTACAGGCTTGTGGCTTTGCTATTGAAAGTATAAAAGCATGCTAAATTAAGTTGATTTGCCTGTGAAAGAAACACGTCCATTATTCATGTCAGGGCCCTGTCACATCAAATTGAGGGAGTGAAGAAAACCCTTTTTTATCAACGTTTAGAAGCAAGGAAAAAACCAACCATTCAGGGACTGAATTTCAATTGGGAGAAAGTCAGCCTGAAAGCAAGGTTAAAAAAAAAAAAAAGGCTGGGGACATGTCTAATGTTGGAAATCAGCAAAGGGTGGGTTGATTTAACTTTGGCTGGAATCTTTCAAACAGAAAGCCAGGAGGAAACTTAAAGTAGCGAGTAGTACACACAGTCTCAATGTCTCTCATGTAAACTTGTCAAAAGTAGTTAATTCAGATTTAAGACTTTTCAGACCCCGTTTTCCTTGTTTACTTCAAAATAATGATGAAAATTGTTAAAATGCATAGAGCATTTAATTGTGTGCCACTCATATTTTTATCCACCGGTTATGACATGATTTAGTTCTTATTAGCAGACAACATGTAAGGTTTTTTAAGTTTGATTAGCTGACAGAAAAAAATAAAAAATATTGGTTTAGATATAGCTGTTCTATGGCTGTGCATCTCTGTAAGAGGGGGGCTGACAGGATCAAAAATAGTTAGGATGGTTTCCTGTCCACTGTACGACACGTATTACTTCACGCAGCCAGAAAATCTTGGCTGACGGTTTTATGACGTAGTGTGATAGGTGCAGACAAAATAAATGGCACATGTATACATGCCACTTTTCTAATAAAAAGCTGATTCACAGTCTACTAAACTATTCCAATACACATAGGAGTTAAATGAGAAACTGTAAGGGGAATTGTTTTATACACTGAAATTCGTCTCATTGCCTGATTATAATTTCTCGTGTGGCTCGCTCATTTAGCAAAACAAAAAGCTTACAGTTCCTTCTCACTACAGTTGGTTTTTATAAGCTTAAAACCAGCATGTTAAGTGGCATTTCACAGTCTTCTGCTTAAAGCCTAATTGGTTTAGACTGGACACCTTAGGGGTATTCTTTAAAAGAAGTCCAGTTTTTATGTCGCTGACATCATTATACTGTACAAAGGGTAATTCAGCAACTTGTTTGCCTTAAATCATGCTTCTGGGTACCAGGCCTAGACATCATTTCTGCATGCAATTTGTTTTCCTACCTTTTGTTTTTCCCTAACCACGGAACCCTTGGGTTAACATGTTTTCTGCTTTAAAGCTCTTCTCTGAAAAACACTTTACCACCTCATCCAGGCACTCTCTCATGCTTCCCGACTTCAAAGTCTCAAGTTGGGAAAGCAACTCGAAGTCCCAAGTGCTGGACTCTGCAGCTTCTATAGGACCCTCCGCTGAAGTTAAGTTCTTGTCTTTAATTGAAAATTGCAGCCAGTGTAAATAGGAGTTAGTTTGCGGCAAGCTTGCCACAAAAGGAATTACCTCGTGGAGTGGCTGCATTGGGGTAAACAGAGGGGATAAAAAAAAAAAAAAAAGAAAAAGAAAGAAAAAGAGAAAGAAAAAGAAAAAAAAAGCCAGGGGTAAGAGAGAGAGGCATTGTACTGTGGAGGTAGCATCAAGACAAGGATTAATGGCTAGAGGAATTGCATTTTGTGTGCTTTCAGCAACATTACAATCTCCCAAAAGTAAGTGTTACTAATAAGTGGGGCAGTAAAGAAAGGTTAGCGAATTAAGGGAAATGGAAAAATCAGGCTCTGTCAATAACAGAAGGTTTTTATTCTGTAAAGTCTAAGGAAACTGTTGCTGATATGTTTATTTTTAGTACTTAGGTTTGGGTGAACTAATAAAGTTTGTTATTTTATCGAGTTGACAAATGGTAGGAAGTGATACATATATACCACACACAACATTTTCCTGCCAACATCATTTACTTCCATGTACCCACACTTTACTTATTTCACAGTACCAAGCTGGAATAAGGAGAAACCCCATCTGCGTTTCACTGCTGATGTATTACCCTGAGCTAGTGGTGAAATCCAAGCAGCCAGGCTGGAAGTGTGCCAGGCCCTAACAGACCAGAACAAGGAGAGAAGTGGTGGTGGAGAGGAGGGCAGGATCCCTTTTCAGTGCTCAGACCTCTGCTGCCAGAGGTTTGATCAGATACATCATCTGACTATGGCGTTGACAGAGGCTCACACAACATTATCAGATCTTTACAGTAATTCAAAAGGCCACAGCAGGAGAAAGTGAGGAGAATCCAGTGGTGTTCCCGTCTCCTTTCTCCCACTCCCATGAGTGGGGGCAAGATGGTTTTTTTGCTTGTTGGACTCCCTGACCTGGCTCAGTGAATGGTCAGACAACACCAACAGTAGCAGCAGGGAGTGGATGAGAGGAAATAAGTTCTCCCTTTTCCAAGGGAGTTTTAGTAGCTCAGCTGCATTGTGGAATTGCACTCCAAGACTTATTAAATTTGGGCTCAGTTCACAGTTCCTTTACCTCCCAAGTCAACCTGGATGTCACTTCATATCTTAATGATAGGATTCTCCCTCCACAAAATGGGAAGAATAAGTCTTCCTTTTCTTCCAAGTTCCTGACCTTTTCTATATAACCCAAGCACAACATGGACACTGTCTTCATGGGAATCCATTTAGAAACTGATACATTTTTGTATTAAAATTATTACTATTAAAATGATTGTTTAAACAAACATACTGACCTCTATGCTCTTTTGAGTAGATCACTTCTGCCATCCATCACATCACAATGGAAACAGCTCAGCTATGGAAATTCTGGATATTAGGAAAAGTAGTATGGATATTAGCAGGGAATAAGACTGCTCCATTGTTATCAGTGCAATACTGTTGGCTTTGTTGTTGTTGGGTTTTTTTAATAATTCATAGTTCATCATATTCAAAAATGCAGTTTTGAATGGAATCCAATGGAACCAGAGTCTAAAAATCTGTGGAAGTATAATTGAGTCTGTTTATACATAATGCAGAACTACAGGAAACTGTAATAGGATTCAGTAAAATATACTCCATAATGGCTTTTTCATGTTACATAACCTATTTTTAATAAAATATAGAATCGGTGAATTTAAGAGCACTGCTGATGCAAAACAGAGTCATACTGTTTTAAAGCAGCAAATTGCAATTTGCTTCTACTCACTTTTCAGTGGCTTACAAGTTGCATTGATTAGAAATTCTCTCAAAAGTTTCTGCAACATGAATCCATTGGATGCATCTGTGAGAAACAGAACTGATTAAAAATCCAAAATACATCCTAACTATCCAAATAAACTAAGTTTAAAATGTCATGCTTTTTGAGAATTCTAAAAATTACTCACTTCATGAAATCCTCTTTCAGTTTTTTCTTCTTGAGCTTGAATATTTGCATACTTTTTAACTTTGTATTTTTAATAGTATTTTCCTTTTTTTATTTACTGTCTTAGAAGCTAATTCAATTGCGCATGGTATGAGACTCTCTGCATGTGTACACAAACACAAATGCCATGCCTTTTAAACTTGGATCAAAATGAAGTCAGAAAAAGAAAACACTTAGCTTGAGACATTGCCCATTATTATTCCACTTACAGTACACACTTGGGAAGTTTTCATGTTCATAACTCAATGTCTCGGGTGCACTGTAACTCTTAAAGATATGCAAGTTCATTTCAGCATTTATCTGCTCTTTTCTCCTCAGGAGTTCAACTGTTTTTCCGCCTGATGGTTAGAATGAATTGAATTTTTTGAACTCATCCATCAGATTTGGAAATGATCCCTGAATTGATGAGAGTGTTTAACAGTTAATTGAACATTTCTGTTGTGAACTTTCATTGCTTCAAAGTGCAAAAATACTGCACCCAGGAACGTGGACAAAGAAAAGAGGATCCATGACACGTTCTTACACCACAAATATTTTCATCCTCTAGAGAGCAGCAGGCATTTAAATAACGGGAGCATCGCCTTGGTCTCACTCTTGAATATTGCAAGGGACAGTGATCTGAAAAGGACTTTTACAGGACCTAAGGGCTTCCCTTCTTCCATGGCAGGAAATAATTCCACATTTTTCAGGCTTTCTAAAGGGTCCTGATGATGCCAGTAAGTATTTAGGGCTTTAGTAATCTTAATATAATGTGTATACCCCACTGTCTTATATGACCTTGAATATTCACACCTGCAACCAAGGAAACAGTAAAGGACTCTGGACATTCTCCTCCCTCCCCGAAAGTTATTTAAAAGTTCATCTTTCAGACTTTCTGCTCCACTATAACACTTTAGCTAAAGAGAAATTATATTTTTCCATTCTAAAACTCCACCAAATCGCATTATTGTACTTCAGCTTTCTCCTTTTCACCAACTTTCGTACAATTCTTGAAGAATATGACTTGCATTTCTTCATTCATCTATGGCAAGCCCTTAACTCAGAGTCACTGCTTCCCATCATCTCTGGCACCCAGCAGGACATTGGTGGCACGTCCCACCTCCTAGAGCACCTTTGCCAAACTCCACTGTCTCTTAACAAGGACCTCAAGAAAGCGTTTTCCTCCTTGTGCCTCTCAGACCACAATGCTTTTCCACTGCAGAGCTGCCTGCCCTGCTTCACTGACAAGCCTAATTCCCTAATTCCTCTTGACCAGCTCCCTTTATTTATAGCTTTTTTTTTTCCCAGCACCAAGATCATTCCTCTGTGCTAGATGGTTAATTAACTCCTCTCCCAGGTTTTCCAGCCTCCCGTGGTGCAAGAGGTCTAGCCTTGGTCCTGCAGCTCTGACAAAGTAGTCTCGTCCCCCAGCTCTGCCAGGTGGAGGTCTGATCTCAGCTTTCTTCGGAAAATTTCAAAACAAAAATATTTCTTTCTAAACTATATTTCTCTCCCGCTGTGGGAAACCGCTGAAGGTGGGCTTTGTATTTCCAGGGAGGATAACATTTTTAACATAAATTCTAATTCAGAACAAGCTCTGCTCAGCACCAACTTCATAAAAGGCACTTGGCCCGGGGCTTGCTGTGAATTTAAACCAGTGCTAACACCCTCTCTCCATCCTGGGTTTCTTGTTCCCCCTTCATGTATCTGCCTGGGCCATAACAGTCCTGGCATTCCTGTAGTGCTGTGATGAACCAAGCTGTGAACTTTATCCAGCTGCAAGAGGATATTTTTTTAATTGTTGCTGGGCTAGTCCTAGCTGATGCTGTGGCTCATAAGCAGCTCAGCCAGAGAAGAGGTGGAAATCAGCAGCAGGGACAAAGCGTTGCCTTCCTGCAAGAGTCACTGCTGAATCTCTGCAGTGCACTCACCTCCTGAAGGATGGGTAGCATCCAGCACCCTGAAGGATGGGTGGAAAGCCAGGCATCCCCGGGGGTAACCATGTTTATCATGGCCTTCATCTGCTTTCAGACATTGCAAACACCAGTTACAGCAGATACATCACAAGAATACCGCTAACAATTTGAATTTCATACTCATGCAAATCAGTTTCCAGCCTCTGGTCTCCCTGCCATTACATGCAGAGGTTTAGCAATGTTAGTTAAGATCCTTGTGCAATGCACACACATAAATGCACAACAGCTCTCCAAAAGAAATACAATCCTAGAGAAATTAAAATCTGTTTAAAATTGCCATGGTACAGCAATTTTCTGTAAGTTTGAAGCACAGCCTTTCTCTTTATTGCACTGCAGTCAGCTCTGGCTGAACTGCATTTCTGTCCAGGTGTTTGGCCTTTTTTAAAAGTACATAAAACATGTATTATTTTCTGATTTTACCTGTTGTTCATCCCTTTTCCTCTTCCTCATCTTCGCCACAAGCAGCACTGCCTCGAATTTCCCTACCCCGAGTGCCGGGCTCGACAACTTCCCACTCGCCTTCTGCTCCCTCTGCTGTACTCGCGGCAGAAGAGCAAGCACGGCTTTTGTTTGCACAAACTCCTGGTTTCTTACCCTTTTTCTGGTGCCCTCCCTCTAGCTGTCTCGTGTTTCCCATGTATGGTTCTACAGAGAAATATTTGGGGGATATTCAGCCAGGATTTGATAAAATCGCTAGGAATTTCATAGCAAGTCAAACATCCACGTGCAAGTCCCTGGTTTGAATGCCTGAGATTGTTGGCTAAATATAAGTTATCAACACGGAAAGAAGCTTTCAAAAGTGTTGTTTTAACTACGTTGTCATGAAAATCTATAGGAATCACATCTTCAACTTCAGCAGGGTGAAGAGGAGGAGCACTTTGGAAGGACTTTGCCCAGTGAAGTCTGACTGACTGACTTACCCAGTCTTACCCTCGCTGCTCTGCCCACTCTGGCTTACACCTGAGACTGGAAATTCCTTAGAACTGAAAATGCCCTCCAGCCCTTGGCATACTGGGCCTTTAAATCTGAGCTGTGTCTTCTCTAACACCACCAGCAAGTATAACGAGTCTTAAGTAAGGAGCGAAAGCAGAGATGGCAAGTTCATCAGTTGGAAGCAACAGAGAAAGGGAAAAATGGGGCAAGAGGGAATTTCTAATTAATCACAGGCCAGCAAAGATCAACTGCAGCCATGCAGCTGCAAAAAAAAAAAAAAAAGGCGAAGATGAGCACAGGACACAGCTGGGGAAGGCTGGGTGGCCACAAGACATTGCCTGTGATCAGATGCAATGATACCAATGTTTTCCAGCAGGTTTAGAACTACAGACTGCACCAGGGAACCTAAAAAAACCAGGGCATGGTGCCACTCAGCATTGGTGACTGGCTGGCTTAAAATTAATTCTTTCAAGGACTGCTTATAGAAATTATGAAGTTTGTGTTCTTTTTTTGCATCCTACTATATAAAATACCAGCATGTATTTTGGTCACAGGAGCCAGCTTCTCTTTGCAACTGTGAATTGCTTCTAAAAAAACCTCCACATTATAGAAACACAAGGTTCTTGGAAAATGCCCTGATTTCACAAGCCAATTAACTCCTACAAGTTAACAGTGATTCCCCAAATTAAAACAAAATGCTGTATTGAATCTGGGTACAATTTCTGAGCTAGCGATGCTGAAAAAAAACACGTAATAAGCAAATCAATGCAATAATTGAAACGATGAGATTTTTTGTATCCAGACAGAGTGAGGTTAGATGCTTTAACTCCAGTAGCTTTTCTGCTAGCGGGTCTGTAGGGTGTGTAGGAAGAGGGCAGGAGGTGTTTGCAAGGCTGCCTGGTAAATACGTTGCTGACACTGGTCTTCCTCCCACCCAATGCAAGATCCTGATGGATGGTTATGACACAAAGGGATGTGGGAATCTACCTATACCCAGACAGGAGCCAGCTTCTCTTTGCAACTGTGAATTGCTTCTAAAAAAACCTCCACATTATAGAAACACAAGGTTCTTGGAAAATGCCCTGATTTCACAAGCCAATTAACTCCTACAAGTTAACAGTGATTCCCCAAATTAAAACAAAATGCTGTATTGAATCTGGGTACAATTTCTGAGCTAGCGATGCTGAAAAAAAACACATAATAAGCAAATCAATGCAATAATTGAAATTATGAAATTTTTTGTATCCAGACAGAGTGAGGTTAGATGCTTTAACTCCAGTAGCTTTTCGGCTAGCGGGTCTGTAGGGTGTGTAGGAAGAGGGCAGGAGGTGTTTGCAAGGCTGCCTGGTAAATACGTTGCCGACACTGCTCTTCCTCCCACCCAATGCAAGATCCTGATGGATGGTTATGACACAAAGGGATGTGGGAATCTACCTATACCCAGCAGCTCCTACAACGACACAGCTTCAAGCGCTGTAAATATTGGTCCAACCCCCAAGTGCCTGAACAGGCTGTTAGAGGCACTGATTACACAACAGATTACTTCAGACACCCTCGAGATTCATATCATCTAACAAGATATGAGGCGCTGAGGGGAGGAGGGGCAGGGTTTACACAGTGGTGCCCTGCTCTTTGGGGGCTATTGAGAGATTTGACGATATAAAGACTGTGAGTGGCTTTACAGATCGCTCAATAAGAGCCTCAAAAGGTATTCTGTATCTTTATGCGTATACAAATATTTACAGATCTTTTAAAGATCAAGACTGCCGTTATCAGTTTACGTGCTATATATTGGCATTATCCAGCGTGACCTCAGGAAAGGCGATGCTCTGCAGCCGTAATGCAATGGTATGTTCAGCTCTGCTGGATCTCCATAGAGGGGGCCTGGAATGCATTGGTGAACAATACCCAGGACTGCACAGAGCAAAGAATGAAGGGCAGCAGAGTTTGATAACCACATTAAAGCACTACCAACATCTGTTCAGGCCAAAGACAACACTATCTCCAGGAATTAACCTTCTGAACCACTTAATCATTAACCTCAGCAGAGAGAAAGTTAGACAACAAGAGCCTATTTGTCAGTAGCCCCTCAGAGAGATGCGGCGAGCAATATTTTACTGAGAACAGCGTGAGAAGGGCTTGCCCAGCTTTATAAATTTTAAACACAGAATATATTTGTGTGGGAAACAAGGAGACAATGGGTGTAAATAAACAGCTGATCCTACCTTGAAGCCTTCATTCATTTATCCTGTTTAAAGTGGCTTGACTGGTTTGTCCTGCATTGTGTAACATTTCCTCTAAATGAGTAGAGATGCTTCAGTTCTTACTCAGAAATATTCCTGGTTGTGGAAAGATTTACAAATGGATAGGATGTTACTATTTATACTTGCACCCGCATCCCCAAGTTTTCTACTGAAAAACAAATTAGGGACTATTGCTCTGCAAGAAGCAGTAGAGCTAGAGAAGCAAAGCTAGTTTGTTTAGTAATTATTTGTCTAGATATACTCTTTGACATGTGAGGTCACTATTAAGTTATTCTGCTATAACCTGGCCAAATGCCCTCCCTTCACACAATTATAGTTGTTAGAGATTTTTTTTCTTTTTGTTTGGATTTTGTTTTTCAAAGGAGTAAAGGCTTTGGTTTCTTCAAACTGCAGTACCCCAAATTTGTAGCAAAACCGCACTGTGGCGTGTTGGGGCTGACAGTTTATTTCTCTGGACCTCACATAATCATTTACCAAGGGGGTGTAAAACACTGCCACATAAGAATGATGCCGTTTAACACCCACTTTGCACCAACTTCAGTGGCCACACAAGGTGTAGGACAATGCATATTGAGGGCCCATATGTCTGCTTAGATATTGCCACAGTTGGAGGGGGCAAAAGAAGAAGAAGAAAGAAAAAAAACCACAGTAGGGAAGAAGACTGACTTAAGGGCTGCAAACAGCAATCTACTCCAAGCCAGGAGTTCTATAGTAACAGAATTGGGTTATATTGGGAATGGCCCAAGGTCTCAATCCCTCGGTGCAGGGAACAGGAAGCAAGTTGTAAGGGAAAAACCACTTAAAACACTTGATTAAGGTATATTGTCCAGGTGACAGACTGGTCCCTACCGTCCTCATGGGGGTCTCCTCTCTATTACTACTTAAACTGCCCTACTTAAAAGAGAGTTATGATGTCTCTGGTGGGGAAAAAAAGAATGGTCTAACACCAAAGGATGTGAAAGGAAGATCTAAGCCATCTGTGATTTTTCTGAGTTAGCTTTCTGTTGGTCCACAAGTTGAACTCAAGTACAGAGCCTCATGTATGTAAAAGCCAGCACAAGGGCAGGATCACACAAGTGACAGAGACCCACTCTTTCACACAGCAGCAAGACCTTAAACCAGCTCAAACCACAACATGTAACTTCATCTTTATGCATTTCCTTGCAAAGCAGATCTGTAACTTCAGCAAAAAAGATCAATAATGCTCAATTTCTCAATAAATGGTACAATATTAACACCCTGGGTAGAAAAAACATAGTTGAACGGACATAGAAATTTAATTACCCACTCAGATTAAAGGTCAGACTGAAGAAAGTGTGGACTGCACCTGGTCTGGAGGCACCATTCCTGTAGGTCTTCACTTACCTGCACCTGTCCAGCACAACAGAGAGACACTACAGTCCAATGGTAATCTAAATGTTACATTAGGCATGAAGTATGCCCCTCAACTCACTTGACCTTAACGCTTTCAGTGTGATTAGTGGTGTGCTGACAAAAAAGAAACAAAAAAAAGCAGCATAATAATTACCTATTAATAGGTCATAATAATTACATAATAATTACTACCTATCTAAATCAGTAAAAGGTAAACAGTGTTGCCTCCCCAAAGACAGTCACATTTGCAAACACACTGAGAAGATGCTCCTCTAGTCAAGACATCTTGAGGAAATGTTCCTCAGACAATTAATTTCTCCAACAGGATTATTCATCATAGTCTGCACTCCCACAAATTGATTTCTCAGGGTTTATCATGGTAATTTAATCCTTACTGTTGGTGCTCTTCAGAGGCTGAACTGCGTAACTGGTTTTTAAACCACTGTCTGCTGAGAAGGCTAAACTGGAGCAGCAGACAAGGCACTCTCCTTTCACTTGGGTCGCTGAGCTCATTAATGTGGATAATTAATTGGAGCTTTGTAGCCCTCCCTTTGTACACCGACAACAAGCAAGTCACAGTAGCTGTACTACCCCCCCTCACCTGAGCACTCTTGCACAGACACCTGCTGCTCATAATTAAGATCCATTGCCCAAATTTACATATCCTGATTTCTATCATTCAGCTTCTAGAGACAAAGGAAAGCATTTACTGCAGGGAAATGACAGCTCAAATTATGCTTCTTGCGTACGGCTTGCCTGGGCAGCTGCTTATGCTAAAGGGCCCTGATATGAAACAGCGGAGTGTTTCTATTTAAAAAGTATATGTTTGGATTGAACTTAAAGAAAAGCACATGGTGATTTCCCCCTTAAGGGGATAATAGTCTTTTCATTAGATAACAAGTGTCAAAAGATGCCATAAACTTCACGGCCGGCTTTGTTGAGGCACAGCGCTGCAGAGAGCTCAGCAGTGAACTTGTGGAGTCCCCCTCCCTCCCTGGACTGGCTGCTCAAGTGCCTGCATATGGGTTAAGTGGAACAGACATCTCACAAACCACACAGTGAAGACCTAACCCTTGGCTCACCTGTGAAGAGAAGGCTGATTCTTGCATCCGAGGCTAATACAGCACTGGAGAGTGAAGTCAGTTGTTAAGTCGGTTGACAGTCTTTGAAAATATGGTCAAAAATGCCAGATACTCCTATGCAGCTCTCACTGGTATTTCAGAGGGAGGCAACTTTCCATGTGCACACCTTTATTCCACCAGTAACATCACCTATCACCTGTTCCTCAGGTTTTTGAGTGATGCTAATAGCCAGCATGAATCTCCTGGTAATAGCTGAAGTTGTTCCATGCTACATTTCTCCTCTGGGTTTATTGGGTTGCTGCAATGCCCCAGGGCAAGATTCAGCTTTCATTGGAAGACTTTTAGAGTCTTCACTGGGTCTAAATCAATCACTCAGATGGTTAAAATTATTCTAAATCTGATTTACCCACATACCAAATGGGGGCTAACCCAGAACAGCCACCAGGGCAGAACTTCAGTGTCGGTGGGATTTGGATTTACAACTTGCGTTGGTTCATTTCCAAACTTGAAATTGACATTCAAGTGTGTTTTCACTTGAAATTAAGAGAAGGAATGGAATTAAAACCGTGGATGGGAAACACAGTAGAGTGAATACAGAGTGCCACAGGGTGACCTTGGTACAAGTATCAATGTACAATGTTAATCCAGAGTGATCTGCAGTTAAGTCCAAGTGGTGCAAAACCAGATCAACGGAGAGCATAATCATGATGAGTGTCATGATGTGCTGCCCCTGGTTTGCTCCTTAGCTGAGGATCAAGAAGAAAAGTTGACTTTCATTTCCACTGCATTGTTTGCCCTGTGCTTTATTTAGATTTTTATAGGAGCTCATCTAAACCGTGATGGCTACACTTTTTAAAGCGCTGTCTCTAAATCCTCCTTGTTTTTTTCCAGAAAAAATGAGATGACACTCAAGACAGAGGACAACTGAGAGTCTCACAGAGTGTCTCTGAGATTCTTTCCACATACTTCCCTTTTGGAAGTATTTTTTCTTTCACTTTTCCTTAATGAAAAGAAAAAAATCAGCTAGATGTAAGATGCATTTTTCTGTTTCTTGAACTTTGAAACAGATAGCACTTGCTATTTTTGGAGCTAGGATGATAAGACAGGAACACCTGAGGTCTGATCTGGCCTGGCAGTTCCTCTTTTCTAGGATGAAAACAAACATCTGGTTCATGGCATCTGAAGAGCAAACTTCCACACTGAGTTTCTTTCTTTAAGGGAACGTAGAAAAGATCCAACACTAAAGTTACCTAAAATCACAACTGTTTCTGAAAATAATAAAGTGATGGATATTTGATTGCTTACATTTAAGAAAAGAAAAAAAAAAAAAAAAAGAAGAAAAGAAACTAATTTCTAATGGATTTAATACTTACCAAACTTCATTAAAAATTAAGACACTTCACAAGTAGGCATGAAAACAGTACATTATTCCTTATCTGTGACATAACTTCAGAATACATCCATAGGAGTACCTGTTCAGCAGCCTGTGGCAAATGAAAGAGACAAAGGAAAACATTGCACTGGGAGTCATTAATTGAATTAATTAACCTAGTGACATTGTCATAAGAAGAATTTATCTGGCAACCAGCAGGAGCAGATCTCCAATCATTTCACCATGGCTTCTTCCACAGATTAACAGTCACGCAAGCCCCTGGCAGCTGGCTGTTAACATTGCAAATTATCAGAAATTAATTAGCCAAATGCTGTGCACCCATGTGGATATTTTTGTTTTTAAGTAAAGATTATGAAGCCAATAGCTCATTTGATGATATATTGAGAGAAAACAGCATTGCTTAAACAAATAGGTTGCAGCGTGGCTTTCTAATGGGAGGAAGAAAAAAAAGTAGGGGGGGAATTTACAGCAAACTGTAGTAACAAAGGCCAAACACTTGTAAACAGGAATTAAACAATCAACTCTGAAAATAGGGACATACACAAATTAATTCAGAAAGGTCTATTTTTTTTTTTTGAGAATAAAAATAATTCCATTTGCATACTTTTCAGACTAGTTAAGGTTGCTGCTTCAATCTGTGAAGCTGGGATTCAGATATTCAGAAGTACTTCTGCAAGATAGCTTTGTTCATCTAGATAGTAATCACTGTATCACACATGAAAAAGAGAATTTTAAGGAAACTGAAAAAGCAACACGAAGCTTAGCCTTATTATTTTCTGCAGCCTCTTGTCAGAGTAACAGGGAATGTAATCATAGCACTTTGGAAAGACTCCTTTTCATACTACAGTGCTTCTTAGGGGTAGTCAAGGACTTGTGTAAAATAAAGTCTTAATCTCCATATGATTTAAATAAAAGAAAAATAGATTCATTCTCACTAATTGGTTTCAACTATCCTCTTTAAAATCCCTTTTACTTCCACCTGACAGTGTTTTATTTGTACATTTTGTATTTCAATGGTCTTGGACAACTCCAGAAAGGAGTTTTTAAACAGTCAAAACTGATACTTCATAATCAATTAGGAAGTGTAATGCATTTATATTTAACAACCTACAATAATCCATGGTTTTGGAGGAGTGGGGTTTATAGAATGCAAGCAACAACAAATTTTAGCCCACGAATGCACAGATTCATCTGGACAGAGAACTGCTGTGAGGTTAAAAGAGGGTAAGGGGGAAAGAGAAAAAGAGAAAAGAAAGATTAGAGCGGCAACTAACATTGAGCATGTATGGAAACACAGAGGGCCAGCTGGGACGCTGCTGACACTCAGTACTGAGGCTCTGAGAAGGTGATCCCAGATTTGAAATAATATCTTCTAAGGGACCCCAAGGGGTTGGCCAGGTTATCATTCCAAGCTAATGTGATATTCTTCCCGTTGGGAGCTGCAGGCTCAGTCTCAGGTTTCTAGTCCCTGGGGGAAGATGAGACTGTCGAGGGTCTTCCTGGGGACAAATCACCCCTGTGAGCTGGGAAGGGGCCTCCTGCTGTGGGACCGGATATGGAGATGTCCAAGAACAGCCAGGAGGTGCAAGGAGAAAGAACAGATGATGCTCTCCTCTCCCTCAGCCAAAGCAAAAATATCCCAAAACTAAAGAGCCCTGGCCCTACCTGGGCCAGACTATGCCCCCCGCAAGACTTAAAAGAGCAACTAGGGCACATCACAGACACAAAACACTCATTTAGGCTTGGCTTAAACTTATAGGAAACATCCCAAAACTAAGGAGCCCTGGCCCTACCTGTGCCAGCCTATACCCCCTCCCAAGACTCAAAAGAGCAACTAGGGCACATCACAGACTCAAAACGCTCATTTAGGCTTGGCTTAAACTTATAGGAAATAACCACTTACGGGAAACTGGAGGTTTCCAGTGTTTCATTCTCAGTGGGAACACATTCATTCTCAAAGTCCACATCACAGAAACTCCTCCAAACCAGGGTCGGTACCAGTGCCTATCCAAAAAAAAAATAGGGATGCTTGAAACAATCCATTGTCAAAGCAGGCAGCTGCCAAAAATAACCACTTACGGGAAACTGGAGGTTTCCAGTGTTTCATTCTCAGTGGGAACACATTCATTCTCAAAGTCCACATCACAGAAACTCCTCCAAACCAGGGTCGGTACCAGTGCCTATCCAAAAAAAAAATAGGGATGCTTGAAACAATCCATTGTCAAAGCAGGCAGCTGCCAACTTTGCTTATTCCCTATTTGCCCAGCTACCTGGCAGGTTACTTCCACACCAGGTATGGAGCTAGGAAACGTGCCTGTGCCCAGGCTGCTGAAAAGTCCTGCGTGGAAAACATGAATCCTGAAGTTTTCAGACATCAACAGCTTCCAGTGCTACTAAAGCAGTCTTAAAAGACAGTTATTTTCTAGCATATCCCCATGCTCCTGCTAGAGGATGTAGAGTTACTTGTTAACATGTGTACTGTTTTAATTTTAAACAGCTGCTTCTCTTCCTAATGCTTGACAGGAGGCTTAGGGGATAAATACTGCAGAAGCAAAATAAGAACCAGCTTCTTGAAAGCTGATACCTTAGCAAGGCTCAGTTTCTTGCTTCCTTTATCACAGCACGAATCTTACTGTTGCATGGCACAAAGCATCAACTCAGGGGCTTACAATTAAGCTTCTAACTCCACATTTGTGCAACAAAAAAGCAAATAACTTGATTTTTTGAATGTTAATTTCTCTCTGCCTGGATGTAGAAACCTGAACTTTACATCTTTATATCTATAATTATACCTTTATGATTTCCTACCTATAAGCTGTTGCCTGCTTAACTCCAGTGAGAAAGAATAAGGTCTTGGGAAAAGGCTACAGAAAATAAGACAGCTGAATAGAAAAACAGACACTAGAACCTGAGCACTTAATTATAGAATCATTTTCTTAGGACCTGAAAATTTCTACTGTAAGACTCTTCAATTTTTTACTACTGACTACCATAAGCATTAAATTAATCAAGAGCCAACCTGCCTAAACTCTTCAGATAATTTTTACTGTTATATCTTATGGTGCTTGAATTCTTATAGACCCCTTTCAAGCATTTCTCTTAGAGGACTGTCATAATGTTAAACTACATAAACTTATAAATCAGTTTTTAAATAAAGCTATCAAATATCATTTAAAAAGAGAACACCATTGCAGAAACAAGCTGTAGCTGAACTCAGAATAAACTTGTTGGACATTTCCAATTATGAAGCACCTCAGGAGGACTGAAAAGTGCACTCTATAAGCATGTGTACAAGGATTTACAATATTTTTGTGCAACAGTCTGTGTGCACAGATGCTCGGGCAAAGCAGCAGTGGAAGAAGGCTGCATTTCATCCTGAGAATAATTTTAGAAACCCTGTGAAAAAAATGTGTATCGTATCCTGAGGATGGTACTGAACCAGAAGTAAAAAGAACAACTCTCCTGCAAGAGGAGGCTTTTTCCTTCGGTCTATGAAACTCCTGGTTTTATATTTTTCAGTATTCTTGTGCCAGAACCGTCTTGTGTGAGTACTTACAAGTAGAAGCAATCTTCTGCACGTATGATGTGCTGCCATATAAAGTTACACGGGTGTCTAATTTCTTTTGTGGTTGTTGTCAAAAGCCCTGGTGCATGCGTGTGTACGTGTGTTTGTCCCTACATTACAAAAGCATTTGTGCTTTGTGTGAAGAGTCTCGTGCTTCTTCAACTTCTCATGTCCAAAGAGAAATACTGTTCCCAAAGGCTTTCGCTGTGAAAAGACTGCAGGAACACTTTTTGTATAAGTTTTACTGTGCCCAGATGACAATAGCCTGTATTTTTTCTACATCAGAAAATCTTTTCATGTATTTTCCCTCCCCCTACCCATTATAAAACATATGTTCCTCACCGCAATGTAAAACAAAACATGGGAAAAGACAGCAGCTTTAACCAGAATTTTCAGGAAAACATGTTTTTTGTTTTCTTGCACTTTCCTGGGTGACTTGTCATGTCAAATAGTGTCAGTCACATCTGATTAGGTGACTTTATGACTCCAAGACATAAAGCTACATGACTGATGCACCTCGATGCAATGCACTGCAAGATGACTCACCCTCTGGGAAACTTAAAACAATGCACTTTTCAAAAAGCTTAACCCTTAATGCTCGGAGTCAAATTCCACTAGCATGCTTCCATCATGGTGATATGATAGAGGGTGACCATTGACTTAAAGGTGTAAAGAAGCAGCGTGGCTATTCAGAAAGTGAACTGATTTAGTAAAAGGTCTGAAGAATACGCTGGTGAGTTCTTGACTTGGTATTAATGTACCAGACAGTGGCTCAATACCCCTTATAAAAATTGTTTTCAGTAAATTACTTAATTTTTGATAAATTTAGAATATTTTGCTCAAGATTCATATGGAATAAATAGGACAAATCATTTATTTGTGTCATTTATCCGGCCTTCCAGTTTGCAAAATCACATGTACAGGTCATACATCGCATCTATACATTGAAGAATTAACAGCAGTGGTCCTATGCATCTGCAAAAATTGAGGCATTATAGCTGAAACAACAGTAGACAGTTCACCGAGTAAAAATCTACAGGTCATCATGGTTTTACCATAGAATTTTTTTCCTTAAATAAGATGTTTTAGTAAAATATTAATTGCAGGATGAAAAAGTTGGGGGGGAGGGAAGATTTCACATCAGGCATCTGCAAAAATTGAGGCATTACAGCTGAAACAACAGTAGACAGTTCACAGTAAAAATCTACAGGTCATCATGGTTTTACCATAGAATTTTTTTCCTTAAATAAGATGTTTTAGTAAAATATTAATTGCAGGATGAAAAAGTTGGGGGGGAGGGAAGATTTCACATTAATTGTCACCTATGATTATTTCTCCTTAAATGAGATGTTTTAGTAAAATATTAATTGCATGATGAAAAAATTGGGGTGGAGGGAGAGTTTCACATTAATTGTCACCTATGATTATTTCACCCTTTTATTTAAACTCTGTGATAAGACAGAGATGCTCTGAAGTCTGTTTTCTTGAGGAGAAACATTTTTCATGAGATATTGAACGTAATTTACTATTTATTTTAAGCAGGAAAAAAGACACACAAAGCAATATACACATCGTATTATTCATCACAGATTTCTGTTTTTTTTAACATAAGCTAGTCCAGATACCTACTTAGATATAATTTAGCAACACAGAAATAATTGTGCTGCATTAAAGTAATACAGGTGTTTTACCTGTAGACAGTAACACATTTCAACATTAGCTATTACCATATCATAAAGTAATATTATTTTCTTGCATTACATGATGATTAGATCTCAAAAAAAAAATCACGCTGTTTATCTGCACAATCTTCATTTTAGCTATTTTACCTATTTAAAAATCACCCACCAGTATAGAAAACGGAGCAGGTTGTAATGATATCATTTTGAGAATTTCATTAGCCATGTGTGGAAATATTAAACCATGTGGTGGCCAAACAAACAAGGAGGAAATACTGTAGCAGCAACAAAGGAGCTGCACTTTGCCTTAGAGCTCATGGTGAGCCATGGACACCATCCATCTCCCACTCTGGACCTTTCTGTGAACTTTGGGAGGTTGGACCTTTCTCTTGCCAAGAGCCAACTCCCTGGGAGAGTTAAATAACACAACACCCACTAAAGAGAGGCAGTAGTAAGAAGGAAGGTATCAGCCCAAAGCTAATCAGCATCAGTTTATCTACAACTTATGCTGTTAGACTAACTCAAAATGAAAAGTTTGTGTGCCAGTGGTTGATACAAAGTGTTTGTGTGTCTGTGATGTCTGTGATGACACCTTGATTAATAAAACAGACCCATAAAAACCTAAAATTACGTACATTAAATTAATTAAAAGCTGGTTAAATAATAGGTTTCCACATGTCTGTGATGTTTTATGGGTGACACCTTGATTAATAAAACAGACCAATAAAAACCTAAAATTACGTACATTAAATAGATTAAAAGCTGGTTAAATAATAGGTTTCCACATGTAATTATAAATAGGAATCATGTTTAACAGCTGTTTTGAGTGCAGGCCCTAAGGGTCTGTTCTCTGCTACTTAACATTTCTATCAGTGACTTGGGGAAAAAGACAAATATAAAAACATTACTGATAACAAATACAGACTGGGGGAATATTAACTAAAGAAGACTAGACCAATAATACAAAGTAAGCTGGATGGCTTGGTAAGTTATGCACAATAAGCAAATACATATTTCAGTAGAGCCAAATATAAAATCACAAACCTGGAAATGAAGCATTCAGGCCACAATAACAAGCTGAGGAATCTGTCCAGGGGAATGTCGACTTTGAAAAAAATCCGTGGAGTTGTGTCCTGCACAATAAAGTAACCAAAGGGGTCAGTGCAATATTGGGGTATAGAAGCAGCAAAATCTCAAGGAGCAGCAGGTTATGTTACCTTTTTTACCTGTTATTGGTACTACTGCTCCTGAAATCTGTGCACTGTTCTGGCATTTACAATTCAAAAATGATACTGGAGAATCCAAGAGTCCAGAGAAGAGACAGACAAATAAGTAAACGGCAGGAAAACATGCTTTGTGGTGAAAGACACTAAGAGTGCAATCTATGTAGTTCCTTTCAAAAAAGACCAAATGACTTGATCATAGCCCCTACACATTAGAAAAGGAAGAGAAATCTGACAGCTGATGCTGCTATATTTTAGACATAAGAAGCAGTAGCTGGATTTTGAAACTTGATAAATTCACATTAACTGCAAAGTTCAGATTTCACTCCAAAGTTGATCTGATAGAAGAACAAAGTAAGTGCAGAGAATCTGTAATTTTTTTTCTTTACTCTGCATCAATGGTTCTGTAACAATGATATTCTAGTCAAAGCACAAGTACTGACCTTGCAGCAACTATTTATAGGTGAGTCCCACTGCTTAGGTTATTCAGGAAGTTAAGTTAGATGACCACAGTCATCCCTATTGACCTTCAAATCCACAACATTAGCTGAAGATCGGACCCTAAGTCTGGAAGAAAAAAATAATGTTCACACTCAAGATAGCAAGAACACTCTAACAACCACCTTTAGTGTGAATGTTATTGACCATGAACTCCAGTTTGTCCTTTGCAGCCGTGAGTTGGCTAAAAATCCTAAGCAAAAGACTGGCAGAACATTTTCACCTCTACATGAGCTGCACAAAAGGCTCAAGAACAATTGTTCCCAGTGGGAAGGGGGAAACTGGAACAAGGGAATCTTATGAACCTTGCATTATTGATTAGCTGCACTCAGCTAGGACAGTAGTAAATACTGATGGACTACTGGCTATCACTGCTAGTCAAGGTTGCCATGTGCACTGGTGTAGAAGAGACCAGAAGCGTATGACACTTCAGTGAAGAGAGGATAAGATTTATAAATCTGTTTGCTGAAAAGAAGTTGCATTCAGTTATTAAAATTCAATACCCCAGCATCTATCATCTGTATTAGTAAAACCTGTTATAGCCTTATGATATGTGAAAAGAAACATTGACTGATTCAACTCTTCTCTACTCCACTATACCACTCTCTTTTTTGCTTGTATTCTTAAAGTAGGAGTAGGAAGACTGAGACACTGTAAGCAGGCAGACTCCGATGCAATTGCAGCCTGAGTACAAGAAGACACTGCATGATAAATTCCCACCTGCATCAAACACTCTTATCTTCTTCCCATTTCTTGTGCCCTCTCCCACTCACCTGGAACTGAACACTTCCCCTTTGTTTTATCTTATCTTGAAAACAAGGAAATACCATGAGTTACATGTCAATATGACCTCTGTGAACTAGGAAAAAGCTGTCTAATGCGATGCCTTGTGGATCCATTAAACCAATTAAAGATGCATCTTGAATTCTAGAAGTGTTGGGAAAAGAAAATATGCTTTAGGCTGTGACTTTAATAAATGTAAAGAGACTAGAGATAAAGACTTGCTGTTCTGCTCAGAGATCCTGTGTAAGATGAACTTACATAGGAGTTTCTCCAAATTAGCTTTAAACTCTTTTTCCATTTATTGAATATTTTCACTTTATATATATTACATGGATTAAGTTGAAAACAGCATTTTAGCCAAGCTGAATGTTAACTGGGGAAATAGGAAGTAACTTCTAACAAAATGGTTAGGAATTTTTTTTTTCTATAGTTTAGGAATCAATGAAAGAATAAGCAAGATGAAACCTCCGTATTTATGGGATTTCCTTTGCATTATCAAATTTACAAATTCCTTGCTCTGTGGAAGACTGGAGACTGAGTTCCCAGGGATAGAGGTGAGACTAACTGGTCTGCAGTTACCAGGATCCTCCTTCTTGCCCTTTTTGAAGACTGGAGTGATTATCATTATCAAAAGACATATGATATAACAGAGGTACTTACAGTTTAGCTGAAAATCTTTTGTATTTTTTTAATTTCCACTTCACTGGTGAGGTCAAGAAGCCGCTTCTGTGTGGGCCTGTCTGACTGCAGAGAAGGTCTGTAGTCACTTCTTGGCTGCATCTGGAGATACCTGATCTTGGATGAAAAGAACTGGGGAACTTTTGTTAAATGCATTGCTGAGATGAAGTCTGAAGACCTGCCCTCAGGTGTGACAACAAGATGCTTCTGCAGATATCCCACAGAAATATAGATACATTAGATGACATTAAACTAGAATTGCATTTCACCAGCTTTGTTGTCAGTCCAGGGGAAAAACAGAACATTTGCTACCCTGAATTCAGAGGGACAGCACTAGTAAATTCACCACCTCATCCTGATGTGAGAGAGTGGATGATAGTTCTGTTTCTACAGCCAGCGTGCTGCAACAGCTAGTAAGGGAAAGAAATACTTTCTGCATGAAAGACAGCTGAGTGGATCTCATCTGCTTGTTAATGAACTCAGATCAACCTGTCACAAGCTACAATCACTGCTTCTGGTCCTGGACATCACTCCCAAATCTAGCTGGTTGTGTGTAAAATGGTGCCCATTTTAACGCAGCACCCTTTTACATCCAACCAGCTATAAAGCATCTATAATGACAGCATAGCTACGTCCCAAGCGTTGGCAGGAGCCATCCCTGTGCACTTCTGGCCTGGCTGGTTTGCATCCCACCTTAGTGCTATTTACTCACAGTCCTGCTGCGAGTGGTACCAGATGTGCACAGCCCAGTGGGCAGCCACTGGGTATTGCTCTGTTCACCTCTTCAGTGTGACAAGGGTGGATGTGAAAAGAAGTGAAATAGTAAGAAAATGCAGTGTACCAACAACAACAAACACAACAGGAGCTCTGGTAGCAAATGGCTGCTTTTTGGCATTGCACCTAACTCAGATATTTTCTCTGAACAGTAACAAGTCAATAAATCACAGTAAGCCAGTTGGAAGAGAAGTGTTTAACTAACTAAACCACTGAGCCTTATCTGCTAGCAGATAAGCGAGAACCAGATTAAGGAGATCACTAACTTTGAAGACAGGCAGCATGGATAGGAGGAGGAAAAATAGATGTCATGTTTTCTCTTTCTCTGGATTGACACAGCAGCAAGGACATAGAAGCAACAAATTTGAGACAAGCGTTTTACTAAAAATAAAGGATACTCAGCACGGATTCTCAATCAAATGCTCCATTCCTTACACTTTCACCAACACTTTCAAAGACCACCTAGTTTATGCCAGCTGTGTACCAAAAAAAAAAAAAAAAAAAGCCCACCTTAGTGCTATTTACTCACAGTCCTGATGCGAGTGTTACCAGATGTGCACAGCCCAGTGGGCAGCCACTGGTTACTGCTCTGTTCACCTCTTTGGTGTGACAAGGATGGATGTGAAAAGAAGTGAAACAGTAAGAAAATGCAGTGTACCAACAACAACAAACACAACAGGAGCTCTGGTAGCAAATGGCTGCTTTTTGGCATTGCACCCAACTCAGATATTTTCTCTGAACAGTAACAAGTCAATAAATCACAGTAAGCCAGTTGGAAGAGAAGTGTTTAACTAACTAAACCACTGAGCCTTATCTGCTAGCAGATAAGCGAGAACCAGATTAAGGAGATCACTAACTTTGAAGACAGGCAGCATGGATAGGAGGAGGAAAAATAGATGTCATGTTTTCTCTTTCTCTGGATTGACACAGCAGCAAGGACATAGAAGCAACAAATTTGAGACAAACGTTTTACTAAAAATAAAGGATACTCAGCACGGATTCTCAATCAAATGCTCCATTCCTTACACTTTCACCAACACTTTCAAAGACCACCTAGTTTGTGCCAGCTGTGTACCAAAAAAAAAAAAAAAAAAAAAAACAAGACAACAGCCAGTCCAAAACCCTGTGAGCCAGAAAGAATGAGTACATGACAGGACCTTCTGTATTCCCTCACTGTTTGAAGTTAAAATCCAACAAGGAAGACAACAGCCAGATAGCCAGTCCAAAACACTGTGGGCAAGAAAGAATGAGTACATGACAGGACCTCCTGTATTCCCTCACTGTTTGAAGTTAAAATCTATTTTTCAGGCTATGGAGATAGCTGTGAGTAATCACTGTTTCTCTCCTCTGAAACACATAGATTACCTTTTTAAAAACTGTATTCTATGAAGGATCATTGGTCTGGGAAAATATCTAAATGTTTCTATAACATCAGTGGAAACAAAGCAAGACTGTAATTATTCCGTATTACAACTCCTTATATATTCCAAAAATCTTTTAAAGTGGGAGGATACGTATCAGCATACATCTTAATAGGAAATTTTAGAAGAACATGAAACGCACTTAGATGCTCTGCAGAAAGAGTAATTTGAACAGCATTTACTCTGAAAGAAAATGCAGCTATTACTTCCTGCTTCTCCCCCATACCACACATGCACAAAAGGAAATGTTTTGAGAAAATTACTTTAATATTGATATTCTTTTTTGTAATAGAGTCCTTGTTACTGAGGCAGGACTCAGAGCACAGTAGCACATTACTAGGGCTGGAAGGTGAAGGCAGATTGATGTTTAACTTTGCAGTGTGCTTTGTAAACTGGGAGAATGGAAATGCGACCCCAAATCAGGAAATGCTATTACTGGTCATAGGGGAAGGTGCTGGTGTGCCGAGCCTTTTGCTTGGGAACAGTCATGAGCCAGTGATGCTGCAGGAGCTTAGCAATCCAGGGCCAGCCCTGGGGGTACATGAGGCACACAGTTCTCTGACCTGCAGATATTCTTCTCTGGCAGCAGTGAAGCAGGACACCCCAAACAGCAGGCTTTTCGCAGCAGTCAGTGAGGAACGGCAGGAGAGGAATGAAGCATTTATCCAACCAGGAGAAGAGTAAGGTGGCAGCGACAAGTCATTCTTCAATTATTGTTTGAGAGTGTTGTAACTCATCTCCACTGTTTTTCCAAGTACATCTGGGAGTGTGTTAGGTCAAAGAACTTTTCATTTGCCAGACAGAGGAGCCAGTGGCAAGAAGCTGGTAATGTTAAACTCAAGGGAGCCTGTAGAGCAGTTCTTACCTGTCGCAGAGCACTCAACGGACTCTATTGATGGTGCTTGTAATAATACTGAGGAACGGCTCCATGCTCCTGTGAAAACAGCCTTCTTCACCTTCCCCTCACTCATTGCACACCCCCGGCACTCAGGCCCCAGTTCTGCTTATTGACTCCTTCACACTGTGATTTCAGGGGACTTTTGCAGAGGCAAAGAGAAACAGGAGTTTAAGGACTGGAGCTTTACACTGTGGACTCCTGTGTTGGCCTTCTGTTGTCCTAAAATACCTTTAGTGCACTTGAAGGTGTCAAGAAATGTCAGTTTCCCCTGAAGAGCTGAATCACCTCAGGAGAACAACAGAGGGGAAGTTCCACAGCTCAGCAAGGCTTTATATTAATGTTTGATGATCTCTTGCCACAACCCACAGTGCCCAAACATCTTAAGGAACACTGATAACTGTCTCTCTTACTGTGAATATTGCATTTCTCTCCAAGAAATGGGCAACACATTACTGTGTTTTTCAGATTTCACCTTAACATAATCAGATACAGAACCCAACTGTTGGATGGGGTACTCCCACAGGATTGTACAAAATGAGCACCATATTCAGAAACGACTTTAAACAACAGCCTCCAGTGGTCTCTGCTTCTCTCTTTATCCTCTTCTGCTTCTGAACCACAGTATTTATCATGTGCTGTGTGTGATGTTTAATATTACATACACTGAAGTCGTTATTCTTGGCAACAATTAACATATGCTCCTCTTACTTACCGAGCTCTTACTGCTCTGTGATAGGCCTTATAAGAGAGGGAGAAGCCAATCTGAGAAGTATGAAGTTCTTGAAAAGACCTTATATGCAATTATGAGATAAAGACAGAAAAAAATCAATTTCTATTAGGCTTATATCAAATATCAGATTTTCATAATCTGATATTTATAGAATTAGTCTTATGACAGACTACTGTTGACTTTGTGTCTGGAAAGGTTTGGGGATGACTAATTCATGACACTTGTCTTCTAAAGCAGTGTTTTGATATCTACTACTGATGGCTATTTTTATCATCATGGCACTGTAAACACACACATGTAAAACATCTAAACCATCAGAAATATTGCATTTACATGATCCACCATCTCATCAAGAAATCACTTCCTTGTGATCAGTACTTTCTTCATAACGCGATTATTTCATAGAATCATCAAATGGTTCCAGTTGGAAGGGACCTTGAAGATTACCTAGTTCCAACCACCCTACCCTGGGCAGGGAAACCTTCCACTAGACTATTTATTTCAGTATTTCCTACACATAGGAACAATCTTATCTGTACTGGAAGTCAATAAAAACCTCTAACTAATGCTACCAGGATCCCTAGCTATTCCTGTTTCTCAGAACTCTAACAACTTAGCTGTTCAAAGACAAAATTGTCTAAACAAATTTATACGATTTGCTCAGCTACTTAGTAGATCTACAACTCCTGTGGTATCTATAGATACAGCATCTTTGCCTGTATTTGGGGGTATTCCCTCATTATATTCTCTTCTGCGGAAGAGAACTGCTTTGAATTTAAGGAAAGGAAGAAACATATAACCTGGGACGTGTTGTTTAGATTATCCCATCATGGATGCACAGTAGTATGTGCCTCCAGAATGAAAACTGAGTAGAGCTGACAGCCGTATCATTCTATATGTCATGAATTTTAATGAGTCTAGAGTTTGTTACTAGTCTTAAAAGTGCTCAGTACAACTACACCAATGCTTCCTTCACTTATAAACTTTTAGTGTTTATTTCACCAGGGAAATAAGATACTTATGCAGTATCTTTTTGGTCAAGACTTCATCTTGTCCCATTGCTGTTTGCTGCCAGTGCAACTCATTAAACTAAATCTTTTAGAAATATTTTAATGTTTAGTTATGAAGAAAAACAAATTCCCTTCCTGCATTTCATGACACAGTTTAAGAGGATCCTTTCTGGCTCATCCCATGCAAAACTCCTACTGAAATAACAGGGAAAGGAACACAAGATAGGGGACTTTGATCTTTTTATTATTCTAAAAAGATCTCTGAAGCAAACACAATCTGAAGTTCCAGTAAGTGATGATGTCATTTAGCCTTTTTCTTCTTGTTGCTTAGTCAGGATTCTCTAACCGCAGATTTTAAGTGTCTCACCTAACATTTTCACAGATGTGGTTATTCATGAGGACATTATTCATAATGACCAGTTTAAACCAGAGTACCAAGATATTAGGAAGTGACTCAACACAATTAATGTGTTTTGAGAAACCTCTGATTTTATGTGGGAAACCTACAAATTCCTAAGAAGGCACTTATTTGATAAGGTGAACTTTTGTCACATTTTAAGAGCAAAATCTGCCTTGACTCATTATTCTGAAATAATTAATTAAAACAACAGTTGCTTATACTTGAAGTCTTAATTCCAAGTATGAAAGAATGAAACAACTTTTCATAAATCATAGAATAGCTCGGGTTGAAAGAGATCTTTAAAGGTCATCTAGTCCGAGTCCCCTATAATGATCAAGGACATCTTTAACTAGATCAGGTTGCTCAGAGCCCCGTCAAACGTGATCTTGAATGTTCCCAAGGATGGAGCATCTACCACCCTTTGGGGTAACCTGTGCCAGTGTTTCACCACCCCATTGTAAAAAATTTCTTCCTTATATCTTGTTTAATCTCCCTTCTTTTAGTTTAAAACCATTAACCCTTGTTCTATCACTGCAGGCCCTGCTAAAAAGTCTGTCCCCATCTTTCTAATAAGCCTCCTTTAAGTAATGAAAGGCCATGATAGGGTATCCCTGGAGCCTTCTTTTCTCCAGGCTGAACAACCCCAACTCTCTCAGCCTGTCCTCATGGGAGAGGTGTTCCAGCCTCTGATCATCTTCGTGGCCCTCCTTTGAACCCACTCCAACAGGTCCATGTCTTTCCTGTGCTGAGGGCTCCAGAGCTGGGCACAGTACTCCAGGAGGAGTCTCACCAGAGTGGAGTAGAGGGGCAGAATCACCTCCCTCGACCTGCTGGCCACACTTTTGATGCAGTCCAGGATA